TGCATTTTAGCATCTCCATTGCAGCCTAGGAACTTTCTGCTAACAAAAACATCCCTTTCTGATAGCAAAATTATAACTTCAGACATGTCTTTTTTAACCTTCAAAAACAACTGTCACTGTTCTTTGCTTTTCTACATCTTACAAAGGGAGGTATGCACCTTTGCGAAGTTCTAGATCATAGAACACAAAAAAAGATTGTATTTTTAGGGTAATAACTTCATAAAATATGACAACAGACATTCAAAGCTTAAAGGTATGGTCCAATGTGTATTTTTAATGCTTAGTTGTGTTATAAGATACAAATCAATGTGTGCACATGCTTTATTTATAAACAAAATCCCGTATTTTTTATATATCTTACTTTGATTAAATACAGCTACTCAGCTAACATGAAAACTACTGTCATATTTCTTAGTTCCTTCGAAAGCCCACCCTCAAGGAGCTCTGATTGTTCAGCTAACATAATGTGCTGTGATTCACGGATTGGCTTCACGTCACCAGGAAGTTGTTATTTGAAAAGTAACGAAAGCAGCTGCATAGAGAGACAATGCAGCGCAGGAGAAGATTGTGGGAGTTTACGTGGGTTTGATGGATAAATATGAATTTGTAGCTTAATTGTTAGCGGTGCCAAACAGCATTTCCCATTGTTTATATCCTTGTTTATGTCCTCTCTACAAGATACTGTTAATGTTAGAAACTATGCATAAAATAGATAAATTAACAAATAAAAATATTTACAGGTTGTGACTAACAATCCACAGCTTCGTCAATTATGGTTGGAGCTGCTCCTTCTTTGAGGGGTTTCTACCCGATTCCAGAACTGAACTGGGAGAAATTATGAAAGCTGTCCTTTGTCAAATCCTAGCTACATATTTTTTATAATTCTCTCGAACACAATTAAACTTAAACTGTAAGCACTTCTCTCTTTGTGTCATGTCATTTGGAAGCCCAAATACAGAAACAGGACGAGCTCTGGAAATTACAGCGACTCATGCCCCTTTGCTGTGTGGGGTGTATGCGTGTGGTGTATGCGCATAACCTGAAGTGTTTGTGATCTCACTAGCCTGGATGTATTTTTTTGCAGTCCTCAAACTTTGTTCACTGTAGACTTTGCTAAGCTAACTCTGTAAAAGCCAACGTCTCCCTTTTCATTGAACAATGAGCGTAATACATTCAAGATGTTGTTTATGTTCACACAGCTACATTACACATCAACTAAAGCTTTAAATATGATATTGTAGTGGACTACCCCTTTAGTTCTAAAATTTCACAAGAAGCTTTGAATGTAAATATGATTTGATACATATTTAATTCAGTCTTGTATGAAGAGTTTTTGGCTTTTTTAGCAGTTACAGATTTCTGGTAGTTCCATTGTTAAAGTCACTATGAAATGAAAGTAAAGATTGTCTTTTTTTCCACTGTTGTGACGTACATTCACTTGAAATGAAAAAAGGTAAAAAGGTAGGGCAGTGCATGATTTAGTGCTTTAGGAACCGAATGGACTGTTGAAAGACAAAATGACAGAAGATTGACAAATAGACAAATTCAAAACAGAAACAAAACACACACTGATAGCCCCGTCCCAAAGGCATTACATCTTATCAGGAAGGTTGTTTTGAGGGGGGAGGGAAGGTTATGGTATTTCCTTAAAGTTTAGGAGGGCTAATGAATTTTACACAATAATGAAGTGCACAAATACATAGTTTATAACAGGAACAACTAAATTCATATAAAAGTACATTTGGATTTTATGGTGAGTTTAACTGATCACCACATACAGATCATCTCTGCATTACAGTGTCTTGGGTTTGCGCTATAGCCTTAACTTAAAGTTCATATAAACTGAACGATACATATTACATTATTTTCCCAGTGATGGGTTGCGGCTAGAAGGGCATCCGCTGCGGAAAAGCGTGCTGGATAAGTTGGTGGTTTATTCCGCCATGGCAACCCTGGATTAATAAAGGGGCTAAGCCGAAAAGAAAATGAATAAATGAATATTACAATATTTTGCCAAAAAATATACAAAATAAAAAAGGTGTTTATCAATAGGCTTCTCAATTTATTGATAACTACTCTGTATACACAATTTTCTTATGAAAATTATATATGTTTTTTTTTTTTTACTTTGTGTACATATTTAACTTCTGATTGTTTCTCAAAAATTGTTTAAAAAACTCTTTACAACTCAATAGCACTCTTTAAGTTAAGTGACCTAAATTTTTATTCTACGCCTACATGTAAATCGGCATAGGACCAAAAAAAAAAAAAATTGGTACAATTAAAATATTCGGTCCAAAACATTAAGATTTCAAGGATTTGCATACCTCTGCATTCACACAAGCAGATCATGGCATCACCATGTTCTCATTATGCAGACGGACCAGCCATGTGTACCTACGCTCAAAATCGTCAGCTGAGTGCTTCAGAACGCTCTCATTATTATGTTGATATTGTAATGTGTGCTTTGAACTGTAATGTTTTCTCATTGGCAAATGAGACATGAGGTAATTTCCTCCTTTTATCACTTTTGTTCTCAGGTCCGTGACTGCGTGTGCGCATTCATGTGTTTTGGAGGAAGCATGGTTTTAGATAGTGACTATCCAGGCCATGGGGGTAAGATATTTAGCTCTAGCAACAGCTAGCCACTCTGAAATCACCTACACTACCTTTATGGCATAAACACAAAAAATAAAGTCATCAAAACACCAGAACTGGTGGTGACCAAAGACTCAGTACTTTATGTGCTGGACATTTTTTTTATATCATGACCAATGTGCAGCTAAAAAGACAGTGTGGAGAAAACGGCAGTCAAGAAAGTATTTGATACTACTGATGTGGGTTTTTGGTTAAGCTTTGAAATTCACTTTGCGATCACAACATCATGTCATCTTTATTTACTGTATATGCACCAACCAGGGTTTTTATTTTATAATTTTTTTTGGTAAGTGGATTATTAAGTGGGATTTTAGTGTTGTTAATATGTCATATGATGTATTGCAATTAGTCAGCAGCACAACACTGAAACATTGTATCGCCTGTAGTTAAAGGCATCATGAACTGACGTGGGAGACAAAGGCAAACAAACAAGTTTCTACAGTATTTAGTTGGAGATAAAACTTGCTCTCGAAGCTTCATATGATTACAGTTGAACCACTGAAGTCAGTGGACAGTTTTTTGGTTGCTTTTTAGACTTTTCTGTCTATGTAGGATGAAAAAGCTATCAGATTTAATCTAAAATATTTAAATTTGTATTCCAAAGATGAGCACATGTCTTAGAGGATTAGAACGACACGAGAGTTCCCAAGAGCAAATAATTATGAGAGTAATTAATTTTCATTTTTGTTCGTGTTACCCCAAAAAAAGGATTTCCGGGGCAATCCTCTAGGTAAGGTATAGAGCAGACCTCTGCTCTTCAGTTTTGATTTTACTCTTTAATTTCTGACCTTGATGGACTGAACACAGTAAATAAACAAGAGCAAATGTTCATGTCAAAGATGGTGAAGTGATGGACCCACCTACTGTGTAATCACCATAGACCAATGGTAGTTTGAAGGCTTTTTATTTATTTTTCTATAGTTAAAGTAATTTGGAACTACTGAACAGACATTGTTTTGACCTGATTTTGTTTGAAATTACAACACACCTGTTTGATATTTAAATTTCCCCCAACAATTAAAATTGACAAATTTATTTTGCAGCAAAAACTGCTTTACTTAGAGTTTTTGTCTTGTTTTTTAATCCATATATCCATATATCCATATATATAGATATATATATATGAAGAAGTTTAAAGACACTTATAATTTACTGAAATATTAATGAGTTTTTTCCTTGAAACCTTTCCTTAAAATGGCAAACAAAACAAAAACAATATTTTTGTTTGAATAGTAAATGCTTCTTGAGTAAAGTTTTTTTTTATTTATTTGGACTAGAAACAAGTCCAAAATAGTAAGAAAGATGTAACAACTGACTTCTATTGTAGAAGTCTTCAGCTTTCTTCAAAATATCCACTTTTGCGTTCAACAGAAGAATGAAACTCAAACAAGTTTGTGCCAAGTGAAGGATGAGTAAATGATGACATAATTTTCATTTTTGGGTGAACTATCACTTTAAGCTATTAGTTATCTATTAACTTAGCAAACAGAATGCTAAGTCACAATTGACCAATCAGGATCAAGTATTTCAGAGAGGGATTGACCAACAAAAAATGCTTTGAAAGTGAATTCTGCTTGGTGCATCTCTTTCTACTATCAACTCTGCATAATGGATGTATTTTTGACCATGAAATTCCCCCATATAACATTGCTGATGTGAATAACTCTAGTTTGCATACTTAAAAAATTTATTATAGATGCATCAGAATACGCATACTATCCATCCTAAATAGTATTTAAAAATAGAATTAGTATTTCCCAAATTGTAGCATGTTGAAAAGAGTATGCCAAAGATTCTCGGATGGTTTACTGTTTCTGGTAAAATTCGAAGTGTAGAACAGTCCTTACTCTAACCGCTGATATTGCCCACAATACATTGCGCATTAAGCGAATTTGATGAGAACTACAAATGCGGGTGAAAAGTGTAAATAACTTTGAACAGTTTGAATGACTGTTAATTAATATTTAGCCAACAGTAACGTGTTTAAATTATGTTTTTCATGTTATATTTTATCTGCAACAACAATGGTAACTTGTGTAAAGATATGTTTGGACATTTAATCTCTGAATGCAGAATTATCCAAAGACCTGAGGAGATTTCTCTGCATGAAAGTGTACTTAGATTATCGTGCTGCTGCTTCTCCAATAAATATGAAACTAAATATGATAGAAGCAATAAAACGACCTGTTAACGAGGACATACTATGTCCCAAAGCTTGTATACTCTTCTGTTACACACTCAAAAGTATATACTTTTCCTTTACAAAAAAGTACTTTTAGGGCATTGTATAAAAATGTGAATTGGCAAGCAATATATGTATTTTCTATTAAAAAACTTCTTACCCAGCCTCCTCTCTTCTTTAACCATGACGCAAGGCTTTTGCGAACAAACTCGCCCATGCAGTCGACGATAGTGTGCACCATTGCTGGATGTCCATGCCGAACACAGTCCACAGCTAGAGCTCCAGCCACTGCATACAGAGACACAATCTTCCCCCATGTTACACCTGTAAAGAAACAGACAGAGCCTAATATAATAAATATAATAGTCAGCCAAGAGTCAAGAAGTCTATTTCAGTATACAAAATCCTTTTTTTTCCTTTAATCTGAATTGACTTTTATTTATCTAAATTGATTTTACATCATAAAGAAGCAGTTGTTTGGATAATGACATCAACTTGACAGTTGGTGCAGAGATGCTTGTTTAGTTCTTCCCCACATTAAAATGTCAAGATCACAAGTCTGAATTTGATGAAAAGGCTCTCTGTACTATTATTTCTCATCAAACAAGAAGACATCCCAATCTATTACAGCTAATTTAATAACCGCTGTAACTTTTTATACCATTCAGTCTGAAAAGAAATGAAATAAAGCTGTAAACCCCTGGCTGGAAAACATCAAACGGCCAGACATAAACACATCAACCAGAAAGCTAATCTGCGACCAGCAAAGACAGGAAACACAAAGGCTAAAGGAAACCATATTGAGGCATATAAGAGATAAAAGCTGGCTTGAAGTTTAAGATAAACCGAAAACACAACAATTCCCTCTGTTTTGTAAGACTGTAACATGTTAAGTTGACAATTCAGATGGTATAAATAGCTCTTCCAAAGTCAAGATTATGCAGTTTTCAACTACTTTCCAGGTGCATTTTCAAACTTTTCCAGCATTTCTGGCAAATTACATTTACATACATACTGCTGCACAATACATCGTTTCAGTATCAATATCACAATGTGATCATTCATCATAGTGGCATCCCGAGTGTATGCAATGTTGAGTCTGAATTATAATTAATCATCTTGCTTGTGTTTTTGAGGCCTGTGACTCTGTGAGGTCTATACTTTAAAAAGCATTCAGGCATAAAAAAATGTCCCGTTTGTAACTTGAAAAATAAATAATGATTAATTTAACGAAATTGTTTATAAAAATGAAGACTATGCAGTATTATATTACATTTGATTATTCAATTACTGTATACATGAATACATTTCGACTCTTCGGAAAACAAACTCGATATTGAATTAGTCTCCTTTACTCTCTTAAATTTCTTTGATTTGCTTTTTGAACAAGTTATTTTTACCAAAGCAACACAATGTTCACATTGTCAAGCCATTTTTAGCACTTTATCCACAATTTTGAAAACATTCAATAAAATTCAAGCATTTTCAAACACCACTACAAACCCTGTTTTAAATTGAAAATAGAGGTTACAATTCAAAGGAAACCTTGTATTAAATAACTGCATATTTAAACTGATACTCAAAATACTGCTTTAAATACAGAATAATAACACCTCTGTGTGTGTATAATTTATCTTAAAAATGGGGTTGCAGATTCTAATGATTAACACATCAACCTCTGAACACATTTAAGAAGACAACAATAAAGACGATGTTTAAGCAGATAACTAAAATCGTCCTACACTTGACAAATCTCACACTTTTCATAGTTACTAGCACTTTATATATATATCAGAATATCATAAGTGCACTTCCATAACTGAATGATGAATCCTGTTTTTATTGTTAAAAAGTCTTCTGTTTTAATAAAAAAAAAATATTAATTCATTCAAAAAATATATTGTGATTTATATAAAAAAAAAATTGCTATATAAAAACAAACAGTAAAGCTTCAGTGAAATGACACTTAAACTGTCTAAATAATGAAAAAAAAAGAATAAATAAATAAATAAAATGCCAAAGCAAATGTATAAACTATAACTTAAATGTATTTCAATAATGTTTGGCCTAAATAATCCAAAATAATTCTAAAATATTAAATACATTTCAGTTTTTTAAGTTTAAAAACAATAAAAATATATATTTTTACAAATTAAAAAAATTATATATACATGAACACACACACACACACACACACACACACACACACACACACACACACACACACACACACACTCTCTCTCTCTCTCTCTCTCTCTCTCTCTCACTACAGCACTGGAAAATAAATAAATATATAAATTAAAAAAATAAATAAATAATACCACTTCTCTTGATTTGCCATTATTAGGTTTGTTTTGGGAGTAAAACAGACAAATAGTGTTTTATTGTACACTTTTGTATTTTATCTTTAATACAAAGATTATTATCATGTGAATCCCTCATTTGCAGAAAAGTTGATATAAAGTGTATGTGTGTGCATGTGTGTATATATGCATATCATTTTTCCAGAGCTGTAAAAATATTGCAGTGTCGTAGAAAACTATGAATCAAAGGTCACTAAGAGTAAAAAGTAAAAACTGCTTGGGGTCAGGTATGTGTACCAACAGGAGAAGCAAGGGCGTCACTGGGTGCACTGTTTCCTGCTTTATCCTGCTTTCAGAATTGAAACACAATGAATATTTTCTCAATTAAATGAGGTAAATATGCTACAGCACATCTGCACAGCTGCCCATGTTGAAGAAAAAAAAAAGACCACGATTCACTGAACTCAAACCCTCAAAGGTCAAAATGGGGTTTTAGTCCTGTGAACTAAACTGAATCCCAAGGGTTTGCACTAAATATAAGTGATGCACAGCGTGCAGCAAAGGGAATGAGAACTTCCATGGTGCCCAGACACTGTTTACTTGAAAGAAAAATCCATCTTTTATGGAGCTCTCAGGGTCGAGTGCAGCACTGTTCCTGTGTTTATTGTAATGTCAGAGTGGATCTGTTTTGACCCTCTTTAAAGAGAGTGTAATTAATCAGGATAGTTTGTTCAAAAAGTGAACGGTTGACATTTAACACTTTTCCGGGAACATATTCTGCACATTTTCAAACTGAAATCTTTCTATCATGAATACTGGTCAATTGAAAGTATTGGCTGTGGGACTAAAATACACTAACATTTATAGTGTTAGTAATAGTGGTGTAACAGATCACAAATATCACGGTTCGACCCACACTATGGTTTTTAGTCACGGATCGGACCATTTTTCAAATCAGCAAAAAAGGGAGGAGACAGATGTAATTTTCTTTCCCTTTATTAATAAACAATTCTGCAATTTTGTTTTGAACAATCAGAACTCAGAACCTGTAATTTTATTAAAAAATAAATTAAGAAATAATCAGCTGCATAAAATAAATTGTAGACTATTCAGAACTGTGAAAAGTTCACTGTTCATCCTAATGTTGCTGATGATGTTAAATATAGAAATTTAACATTATTATTTGTACAACCCATCTTTAATTATAGTCTTATTTTCAATAAATGATTCAGTAATTCACTCAATAATCTCCAGTGTAATCGCTAGATGTATCATTTTTTTAATGATTATTCAGTGGCATATTTTTGATGGCTGGTTGTCAACACCTATTGATTAAATAAAGTAATTGCTGTCTACAACTTTCACTTGAGCGTTGATGGGGATTTTAATCTTAACCATAAATATCAGTGGCTTTATCTAAACTATAAACTCTTATGCTAGTAATTCTGTGTTATTTGACTGTTTGTAACTTCATAACTAACTCAAAATACTCAATCCCTTTCTTGATTTCTGCATTTTGAGAATTAAATGAAGCGATTTGAAGGATTAATAAACATATGCAAATCACTATCATTTATGCTTATGGGTGCATGGGTGTTAAGATCCTTATCTATCAATGATCAATCATGAAGCTTGAATGACACAAGACGTAATCTCTCTGCAATCGTTACAAATTTAGGATTAATCTACAAGAAACGTGTGTTCCGAAAACATGGGTTGTGATCCGTACGAATCACAGATCAACCGTGATCCATTACCATTCTTCTGAAAATATTCATATAAATAACATATTTAAAAAGGGACAGCCCAGTGGCTCAGTGGTTAAGCACTGTCGCCTCACAGCAAGTATGTCACTGGTTAAAGACCCATCAAGGTCCCATCTAGAATTTCTGTGTGGAGTTTGGGTGTTCTTCCCATGTTTGCATGGGTTTTCTCTGAGTGCTCCGGTTTCCCCCACAGTCCAAAGACATGTGGCAAAGGTGAATTGAATGAACTAAATTGGCTGTATTGTATGTGTGTGATTAAGACTGTATGGGTGTACTGGGTTGTGCTGGGTTGAGGCTGGAAGGGAGTCTGCTGTGTAAAATGTGCTATAAAATTTAGCGGTTCATTCCACTGTGGTGTCAACTGATGAATAAAGGGACTAAGCTAAAGGAAAACGAACAAATGAATGAATGAATGAATGAACGAACATTTAAAAAAGGCTGTATCAATAATATATTGAAATTTGCACATCCCTACACTGCATACAATGTCGATATGTGTGTGTAGACGGGTCTTATATAGAACTCATCTTTTAAGAAAATACAGGAATGTCACTTTAAAGAAATAGACGCTGTCAGCATTTACTCACCCTTATGTTTTTCCAAACCTTTTCGACTATATTCTGTGGAACAAAAAAAAGATATTTTAAGTAGGGCTGCACAATATTAGAAAAAAACTGACATCGCAATAATTTGGTTTTCTGCAATGTGAATATAATTTCACAACATGTTTTAAATAGCTCTATTTGAAAAAATCATAATATTACATGGATTGAGATGATTTTTTAGGGGAGTGCATATTAATATAATAAACAAATTATAAGTATAATGAATACAACACACATACAAACAAATAAATAACTATGTTTTCTGGGGAGTCAACTGTGTTTAAGCTACAGAAATAAAATATCACAGTATAGAATTCTTCTTTGTACAAATAATACAATTAATCTTTGTTAAAATCTACAACTTCTTGTGACTAAATGGTTCAAATTTACTTGAAATCTCACAGCCACTGGCCTTAAAAACAGATCTCAATTAATCCTTTACTCTATTAAGGTTAAAATTAGGGTAACACTTTACAATAAGGTTCATTAGTTAATGCATTTACTAACATGAACTAATCATGAACAACACATGTACAGCATTTATTAATCATAATTGTACATTTACTAATGCATTACTAACATTTAAGTTCATGCTTGTTAACATTAGTTAATGCACCATGAGTTAACGAACTAACAATGAACAAATGTATTTTCATTAACTAACATTAACTAGCATGAATAAATATTGTAGTTAATGTATTGTTGATTGTTTGTTCATGTTAGTAAATGCATTAATTAACATTAACTAATGAACCTTATTGTAAAGTGTGGCCAAAATTAGCAATGACTCCTTAAATCCAGTATTATGAAATGTGGTTCCTGATGAACTATAATCCCAAATCTACATTGAAGTCCTACAATATGATTATTGCAGATTCACAAATTGCCATATCAACGCTGAAATTATATATTGTGCAGCCCTAATTTTAGGAAAGGCCTGTTTTTTTTGGTTTTGTTTTTCATTTTGTTTTGTCCATACAATGGAAACTAACAACTACCAACATTATTCAAAATATCTTCTTTTTACAGAAAACAACAACATGAGGGTGAGAAAATATTTGCAGATGTTACATTTTTGGTTGAAAAAAAAGGGTCTTTTTTTTGTTTTAACTCAGCATGTGTCGTGTGCTAATGCTTAACTGACAGGATCTACAACATCTCAAGAAGCCAGATGCAGCAACTAATTCAATTAGAAACAATCAAATGTTTTCCGCTCTAAATTTATATCAAGACAAGCCAAGGACCCACCTGTGGAGAAGATTTCAGCAGCGACGGCCAGAAAGGCATCAGAGACGATATTCTCAGAGGCTATTGTGATGTTGAGCTGTCGAGCTACGTTGCGGTAGACGTTGGGACGCAGGTACTCTAGCTCATCACCTAGAAGACACACAAAGATACGTGGTTTCTTTTTACCATGTTTTTCTTTTCTTTTTCATTTCTTTGAAACATGTTTTTAACACATTTAATCCGCTTTTAATAATTTGTATTCTCTTTTTATTTTCTTATACTTGTATCTTTTATTCCTGTTTAAGTAAAGTACTTTGAATTGCATTGTGTATGAAATGTGCTATAGAAATAAACTTGCCTTGCCACAATCTATTGCTTTTCTATTCACAGGACGACACTATCTAGACCCTAGAGTCTTACAGAATGACAAAAATGACAAATTCAAAATGCACAATGACTTCAATATAAAATGAAAAGCTGCTATTAAAGGGGACATGAAGTAAAAAATCTAAACTGAGGTAATCTTTTTGATTGTACTTTGGTACCTCCTCTATCAAACACTTTTTTATAGTCTAAAATCAGCTTATTTTGATGTCAATCCAACACTTTATTACATAATAGTGCGGCTGATCTCTGCCACCACATAAAATCAACACCTGCTTCTACATTACTGACTGTTTAGTTCCGCCCACTTATTTATGCCAGAGATCCCAACATTAATGATTTGAATAACCTTTGTTCAGCTATTTTTAATCAAGTTTTAGCCTGCGTCATTACAGCTTCTACTGACTTCAGTTTACAGTGGATTTGTATAAGTAAGGTTAAAACTAAAAGACGATGTAACGTTGCATCATGTGTTTGAGTTTCATTACATGTTCACTATTGCATTTTCATAATACAGATAGCGGTTTAAAGGGCTTTTATCCTAAATCCGTCATGGATGGACACTGATGGGATGTAAACATACACAATGAAGTTTACATCAGTAAGCACACGGATGTCCTTTTGAAGTTTTGTACATTTTTAAATATCCAGACTGTCAGAAAATCATACCAGTGGATTTCTGCTTCCAAGTGTAAAGTCCGCCACTCCTATTCAAATATGTTTTGATGAGAGGATAATTTCTATTCACTTGATAACATGATAACATTATAAGTGGGCCTCAGAGAACAAAAAAGGCAGCTAATGTTCCCTTTAAAGGGTTTGTTCAACAAAAAAAATGAAGATGACCTCATAATTTACTCTCTCTCATATGATAATGTTAAACCTTTGTGAATTCTTTCTTCTGTTGAACACAAAAGATGACATTTAAATAAATAAATATATATATATATATATATATATATATATATATATATATATATATATATATATATATATATATATATATATATATATATAAAATGGAATTCGATGAGTTCTAGTAACCAGCATTTTTCAATATAATAGGTTTATAATAGGTTCAATCAAATAGGATTTGAAAAAGCAAGGGAGAGGAAATAATAACAATTGAAATTTTGGAGTGAACTATCCCTTTGAAGATCTTATGTAGGCCCACGCGGAATCTGCGCGCGCAGAATTCTGCAGATTTTTAGCCCATCATTAATTCTGTTTAATTACTTGTGTAAATGCGTGTAATATCTATATTTATTCACTTTTTAAATTAATTTCAGAAATATTATTGACTAATATGAAACTGATCATCTGATTTATTTACAATACAGTTTGTACAGTAATATTTATTTTAGTAGAGATATTATATGAGACTTGCTTTGTTTACCAAATAAAGTGAATCTAATTAGATTTGCATTTTAAACATAAATTAAGATTAAAAAGATCTAATTTTTTATTTTACATATTAAGGTTTTAGTTATGATACTCCCAAAATAATTCTGCAGAAATCCGCAGGTGTTTACCAAAATTCTCAGCAGAAATTACAAAAAACATCTGCAGATTTTGTCTGGCCCTACTTATCGGTGCCAGTTTATTTTAAAAAGTACAATTCTTTGCCAACTATTTACTATGACTTTTGCCTCTAAATAAACTTTTGTTCAACTATTTTTAATCAAATTTCAGCCAGCGTCATTACAGCTTCATGCACCATGTTCTTTGATTCAACAGTAATGTTGTATCACATGTTTGAGTAACTAAAACATGTTCACTATTCCTTTGTCATGTTATAGATAATAATGGCGTTTTAACCGAAGTCAAACCAGCCTCCATTTATGACGAATGTAAACACAATGAGGTTTACATCAGTGGGCACAGGTATGTCCTTTTAAAGTTTTGTACATTTTTAAATATGCAGACTGTCAGCCAATCTGCCACTCCTATTCAAATATGTTTTAATGAGGGAAAACAGCACAAAAATAGCTAATCACTTCGAAATTATGATGTGCTTTGATGAAAAATAACATTATAAGTGGGCCTCAGAGAACAAAAAAATGCCTCTTATGTGATATTGTAAACCTTTGTGAGTTCTTTCTTCTGTTGAACTCAAAAGATGACATAAAAAAATATATATATATATATATATATATATAGAATTTATTGAGTGCCAACAATCAGCCTTTTTCAATATAATAGATAGGTTCAATCAAATTTTGAACAAGCAAAAGGCTAAGAAATAATAACGGTTTTTATTTTGGATCGAACTAACCCTTCGAAGATGTTATCGGTCACAATTTATTTTAAAAGGTAAAATTCTTAGCCTACTATTTACTATGACTTTTGTCTCTTAATAATAGCTATGGTAGCAGGTAGGCTTTGAGTAGGATTAGAGAATAAAATCATGCAGAATACATACTTAATAAGTTTTTTTAAAAAACGGCCAATATATTAATAATCTGATATTAAGTTAATGGTACTTAACTAAAGTGTTACCATGTTATGGTCAAATGGACAGATATAAACTTTCATTCTGCTGCAATGCCACATGTCCTGACAGTGTGTTCAGATATGTCTCTCCCACCTTAATCATCGTCTCGTTGTAAGTGATTCAGGTGGAGAGGGGTGTGTATGTGTGTGTGTATCCAAGGAATACAGGGTTTGTTGTCATAATCTTTTCTTTCAGGACAGTACAGGGTTAATCTGGTTATGTGTGGGTGGGAAACCCTCAGTCTGCCTTGTGATAATGATCAGCATGTTTGCATGCTTTGTCCATAAAAAGCAGCTCCCCCCAGAAACACAGTTGCTTCAAATTAAAATTCTTCCCTTTACCCTTTTCTGAGAAACAGGTTCTTAGAAAACAATGACAGTTGACCGAAGCTCAAATGTCCGTCATGGGGTGTATTTTTAGACGGCTTAAAGGGTGTCTGATGATCAGCGGATTTAATGTTATTGATAGGGATTAATCTATATCCAGTCTTGTAAACTTTTAGAGAGCTCAGAATATCCAATGGATTGAAAGCAAGAAAAGAATGAGAAAAGCAATCCAGCACATTCAGTATGGTACAAAAGGCAAATTACTTTACAATGGGTGAGACGGGCAGACCACATAAGAGTGTTGTAAAATGTTACGCAATCTTACGGTTTTGGCTTTGAGGAAGCCAAGAAACACGTGTTTAATTTCATTTCTGAAAGGTCACTTTGCCATTTACTTTATGAAACAAACATATCAAGACTGAAAACGTACAGGAAATGCTCTGCATTTTTGGCTCAGACTTAAAATAAATCCTACAAACATAAACCCACTGCTCAAACATATAAAGTATCCAATACAGATTTAAGACTGCATCTGCCTGAAATTAAATATACTTAGAAAGTATGTTTATATACAAACACTTTTTTAATTTAAAGGATGTTATATTCATAAAAAGCAACTACATAAATGTTTATTTAATTAACTTCTAGGAAAATAAAATGTCAAATATGGGTGAATCAGCATGACAAATGAAGGGGTATACTCTGGCCTGTACTTACAGTAGTAAGAATAAGAGATCATACTAGTTTCTATTGTGTTTCTATTTAATGTTAATTACCGTATTGCCAATTGGTAAAACCTAGTTTGAGAGAACAGACAAAAATTTTACTAACTAATATTTTTTTGCATTTTTTTGCATATTTAATTCTAACACTGTCATTAAATTATTGATTTGCTAAATATGACTGACGTGATTTTTGGGTATATAAACTCATATTGTTAGCATGAAATATGTACAATTTCTTTCCTTTCTCTCAAAACACATACATACAAACATACATACTGTACACATAGCCTACATACATACATACATTTACATAAACAAACTAGTCTTTAGTACCCCAACATGTATCCCAATTTCTTTCTATATACAATATTTTTGACCATAGCACCATGCAGGCTATTTTATATACATTGCACAAACACTTGACAGCATCAGTCTACATATTGTAGCCTACAGCATGATAATATACATAAGTGAAGGGTCAGATGTCCTACCCAACCACAGCAGGACTGAAGACACCTCAGCCAGGGTTCCTCCAGACCCGTGTTCTGGTTTCGACCACCCGATTCCAGCCCGGTGCAGTCTGGAGTGAATATAATCCCTACACAACACTTTGGACTGAGACACGAGCTCCTTGTCCGTGGGAGAGCGATCAAACACCTCCATGACTTCAGCCGCAAACACTGAGGAGCGGCGCAACATCTCCATGCCCTTCATGAGTGGAGATCAATCACGATCAGCTGGAAACCTCCACCTCCAGCACCGTGTATGGAAGCGTTTCTCCTCAACCCTGTTCTGATCTGGATAAAGAGAAAAACGCGTATTTTACTGTGTCAGTAGAAAGACTCGCTTCTCGCCTTCTCCTTGAAAGAACATGAATCTGATAAGGCGGTCAGAAGTGCGAAGAATCAGTGAGCGATTATCTTCACTGTTTGTCGTCAATCATTCAAATAACCAAACAGTCTTAATTATCGACATTAGGAGATGACAGAGTTATGAGGCTCAGTCTGTGAAGCAGAGGTTAAACTGCTGTCAGACGGTGGTGAAGCTCTGCTGTGCTTTGGTCGGTGTGTTTGGATGATCTGCGCGCATGAAGAGTCTCCTTCTATGGTGAAGCTCTCAGATAAGGCGGAGATAAAGAAGCGCGGTTACTGCTTCACAGTCCGCCTCTTTAGAAGTGCCACTGTTTAGACAGCAGTGCACAGTAGAGAATCTGAGGAATGTAGGAACAAACATACCAAAGAACGAGAAAATATCTATCTATCTATCTATCTATCTATCTATCTATCTATCTATCTATCTATCTATCTATCTATCTATCTATCTATCTATCTATCTATCTATCTATCTATCTATCTATCTATCTATCTATCTATCTATCTATCTATCTATCTAACTATCTATCTATCTATCTATCTATCTATCTATCTATCTATCTATCTATCTATCTATCTATCTATCTATCTATCTATCATAATAATAAGATTCAGTTATTCAATTTTCAAAAATTACTATCATAGCCTTGCATGTTTTTGTTGTGTAATTTGTTTATATTACTATAATTGTTATTTTACCATAGTGACTACTGAATTACCAAAGATTAATAAAATTAAAAAACACTACAGTATATTATAAATAAAAACAACCCTCAGTGGTGACAGGTGACCTTGGTATAAATGGGATAATCCAGAGCTTACAGTGCATTATATGATTTGAACACACTCCATGAGGGCAATCATTCTCCATTGTGCATTAAAATCATTCAGTCTGCTGCATATATAGCTACATTTATATATAGCCTTGATGAACATCTTAAACCTTTACTGGTTTTAGCTCATATACCAGTCTGATCTGACTGGTATGTTGGTTTGTTTAAAGTGGTACTGTAAATCCATCCCTCTGTCTGCACTGCAAAAAGGTTGCCTTAAAATTTTAAGCTGAATCAAATTAACCTTACGAGTCCATTGAACTTATATTGTTAAACTGACTTTAAAGAGCTAGCGTACCTTGTAACAATAAGTTAGAACAGTTAACTTAGTTCAATAAGTCACAATGACCTAAAACATAAAGAGTTCAGATGCAAAAACCTTTAAGTTCCATCTGAAATTTCCATCTAAATGAGCATTTTTCTCAGACTCCTATGATTATGTTAAGTTATTTCATTTTATAAGAACTTTAAAAGAGTGTATTTTTTGCAATAAACTTTAAATAACTGAACCTACACACAGGAGTCTGATGAAATGGCTAATTTTGAAGGAAATTTGAAGGAAATTTTCAATGATTTTTAGAAGTTTTTGCAACTGAACTGTTCATATGCTGTCAGGGCTTGATCATATAATTGTTTACAGTGTGGGAACGTACAGTAGCAATATTACAAAATCCCATACATTATGCTTTTTCTTTGTTTTTGTTGTTGTCAGTTCCATAAATCCATGTCATTATAATTTATAGTAATTGCAGAATGTGTCTATTTTACAAAATAATGTGCAACGTCTACAACAAGCTGGGTTTTTAAAGGTATTGTTTACAAGAAATTTAAATTCTGTGGTGGATTGTTCCAGAGGAGTTTACTTTAACTGACTTTATAAATCTGGGAAAATGCTCACATTTGATGGCGTCTGGTACTTTGGAGAGGTCTTTTATTCATGGATGAATCCCAATTTTTACAGTGAAGAGATAACATGCAGTGTGCATGGTGTAGGTCGGGTGAGTGGTTTGTTGATGTTAATTTTTTTGTGAATCAAGTAGCCCCTGGTGGTGGTTGGGTTATGGTATGGGATGGTGTATGTTTTGCACAACAAACACAGCTGCAGCGTATTATTGATGGCAATTTGAATGGTCAAAAATACAACCAGATCCTGAGGCCCATTGTTGAGCTATTTATATTGCATGGTCCCATGTTGCAAGGATCTGTACACAATTCCAACAAGCTGAAAGCATCCCAGTTCTTGCATGGCCAGCATACTCATCGTATATTGTTCATAATTGGGTGACATGCTCATATGTAACGTTTACTACATTAACTGTGTTCCAGTTTCTGCCAATATCCAGCAACTTCATACAACCATTGAAGAGGAGTGGACCAACATGAGGCCATCAACAACCTGATCAACTCTATTCAAAGAAAATGCATGAGACCAATGGTTGTAAAATCAGATCCTGACTTATTTTCTGATTTAAACAAATGTCCCAACAATATTCGAGGGAAATAGGCCTAACATTAAACAATCATAGTTGCATTTACACTTTGTTTCTAACAAGAACTGTTTGTGCATATGTTTGTGAAAGTTATTTGATTGTACAAAGTTGTTGAACAAAAATAGGCAACATATACCAGTCCCACACCATCTGTGGTAAAAGTTGTCTTACAAGTCTTGACAGTTTCAACTGAAAAGAATCACCCACCCAGCTGACAAAACGGCTTTCCCGAAGAAACATGTAAAACCAAGAGCTGTTCTGACATGTCTAGTAATTCCTTGTAACCAGGAATACGCTAACAAATAAGGTCTCCTTCAAATGCTGAATAACTGATAATGGAGTACAATAAATAGACACTTTGAAGCACAAAACAGAGAACTTCCTTAGACAGACAGAAAAAGTAAAAAGATCAACAAGCACTTCTGTTCAACAAAGAAACAAAAGGAGAAAGTTGAAGTTTATCTTTAGCCGCACACAGTGAAAGAGTTCCTGTTTTCATATCACACTTGACGTTTCTTCTGTATCCCATTTTAAAAACTAAACCGATTATAAAGTCTGTTATAAACCGCTTGTGACAGTTTATCTTGTCAAAATAACAGATGGAGGCTAATAACACTTATCGCATCATTGGGACATGGGGTTTATATTCAATTCCAGTGAATATGGGACAATAATGTGGAAACATGTCACCATGCAAGTAAATATTTCTGAGGAATAATAATTGAAAGTATGCCATTCTGCAAGCAGTTTTCTTCTGAACACTTACCTGCCCCTGCATGCCCAATCACACGTCCTCACATCATGTAGTTTCTTCATTGTAAGTTCCTTCCCTCAAAATACCTGTTTAAAATATCAATACAATCTTGTAAGTTAAAAAACTCTAATGGCTCCTGGTTTAAATTAACTGTATTAGATGAATTTACCTTGACTTGATTACAACATTTTTTGTACAACACTGCTCTCTAGCGGGAAAAGGAAGAAACTACGCAAAATGCCAATTTGACATACTTTATTATAGAGATTTATTTTTTTTCAAATATGTAAGTCAGTCCCGAAGCCAGCCTGGTGAAAGTGGTGGGACTTTTTTCTCAAAAAATAGAATTTTTTTTCTCAAAAAATAGACTTTTTTTGCAGATATTCACCTCATTTTCTGTTTAACTATGAGGTTAAAACATTCAATTTCTTGACATTTTAAGCACAATTTATAGCTAGATAAGCTTGTTGGATGGTCACTATAATTACACTTTTTGATGTACCAAAAATATTTCCTATAGATTAAAATCCAAATTTATTGCATCATATATCATTTGAAAAATGGTAGCCTATAGGGAAATAACAAACTGGCCAAAACATTCCACTTTCCTCAGTCAGAATTTGGCCATTTGAATAATAAAAAAGTAAAACATCAGATTCTGCGCGGTCTTAAAACGTTTCATGGGTTATTTCCACAATTAATGCTGGCATAGTTAAATAAGATAAACTAGCTCATCTATGGGGCAAATTTTGGACCTTTGTCAGTGGTCTTTCAAACCACCCAACCCCCCCATCCCCCCACCCCCGTGGCTATGGGCCTGTAAGTTATCATTGTAAGAAAAAGGAAATGTATAAATCAAAAGGTGAAAGTGATCTAGTATTAATGTAATAAGAGGTTTACAAATGGGGTCCTGACTCCCCCTTGGGCACTGTAAGGGCAGAGAAAAACAAAAATTACAGAAAATTACACACAAAATTCACTACAGTAAAATCCAACATTTTATGAATATAAATAAACGAATTAGTATAAAGAACACAAATACATAGTATAAAATAAATTATACAAAAGAGGATTAATGGAGGGGCATTCACTGCATAAAACACATGCTGGATAAGTTAGCGATTCATTCCGCTGTGGCGACCCCTGATGAATAAAGGGACTAAGCTGAAGAAAAATAATTGAAGCAATAAAAGTTTTATACAGAGAAATATAGACCTATTTATAATGTTAATTTTAATTACACTTTTACAGTATAAATTGAGTTTTTACTAAAAAAAACTGTAAAACATTGCATTTTCCAGATCTGAGAATAAAAGATTAAAACCTCTGCTTAACAAATAATCCCTTACAAATTATAAAATAAATTGTATGATCTGGAAGTTGTTCTCTTAATTCAGATGGCTAAATTTATTAACTGGAATAAACTGGAGACTATGATTTAATAATTTAGTGAACGAACCATTTTAGGCAAAAGTGTAGACTTATTGAACATGTTGTAGGCTGCTTCTAGCCTTGTTGACGACTCACAAACAATATGTCATAAAACAAGTGATGTGCTTAATTTTCAATTCAATTTGAAACAATTCTGACACTGAAGCTGAATTAGAAAAAGGGGTCTGACTGCAGACTTGGTGCAGATGCAATCTGAGCTGTATCCAATGCTTTTTTTCATCCAATGCCTTTCACGGTGACGTCACAAGCTGCATTTCTGGGCGATGCAATCTCAGCTCTCGAAAAAAAAAAAAAATCTCAGCTCTCGGCATGCACTGAAAACATTTAAATGTAAATGTAATTTTACTTTATATATATCTTTCAGAAACTGTTAAATGTAATAGCCTACCTCTTGTTCTTGTGGCATTGAGTTAATAATAAAAAAATAAAAAATAAATAAAAAATCTCAGCTTGCATCACAAAGGCTGTATCAAAATACTATTGTGGAATTAGAGGATCGTGAAAAACTACTATTCCCAGCATCCTATAGTTGACATGCGCATGCGCGAAACACACGTCTTCTCTCTTCGTCAAAGTAGTGAGGTTGTAGAGGGAGTCTCCTATGCAGAACATAAAGCGTGAACATTCAGACGAAAGACCGCTTGTCTGCGCTACTGGATGGACAGGGATACACATTACACTTTTGTAAAATGAACAGCGGGTCTGTCTGATCTACTGGAATGATTTAGACAGCGAAGGACTGGGAACAAGCTGTTCCTTTGGTAGGAGACAGACTGAGCAAGAAAGAGAGCCAGAGGAAAATCTGTGAACCCCGAAGCTGGTACATCCAGCAGGATATGGCTCACCTCCAGAACATTCGCAACCAGGTAAAGTAGACAGATGAAGATGACAGCAAAAGACCTCCAGCCGTTGTTCATACACGACATAACTAATATAGCATCCTTCTTGGATAAGGATTGAACTTTGCATTAAATGCCATTGTATTATACAAAAAATGAGTTCACCTTGGTAGTTATATTTAGTATTTATGTAAATAAATTGTTTCAAATGCTTCGATTTCAAGTAAAAATAAGTACATATAATAATAATAACAATAATTAAAAATGCATTTTCTTACTGTTAATAGTTTTAGCATACATTATCACAAGTTGTGCACTAAAATGTAATGTTTGGTCATTTTTGGCATTATTGAAAATTTATATATATATATATATATATATATATATATATAGCTTCAGGCTAGAATTCTACACTTGAAATAAACAGTGGCCATTAAATGTGGACTTTGGCCTGTCTAATTAAAACTATTGTGGTACATTTTAACAAACCAATAAAGCTAATATTTAACTAATTTTTAATAGTAGTTGTCTCCCACATTTTGCGCAAAATCCTGTTACTTCACAATACTCCCTTGTAAAAAACAAAACAAAAAAAAAAACATTTAATAACAAATAATACACAAATTTTTTTTTTTTTTAATTTAGGATGATAGTTATTGTTAGAAAAGATTTCGCATAATAGCAGAATTAACAAAAACATATTCATCACAACTGCAAACCAAACGTTTTGTTTTTTTCTGAGAAACTTCAATGTGATTTGCAACCTTTTACACAAGTAGGCTACACATCTTTTTTAAAAACAAAATTTTCAGCAACTAATTGACCCAGTGGATTGCATGATTGATAATAAAAATAATCAGAGATGGCGTTCGATTATTGATTAATCTTGTAAGAATGGGAACAACAGAATAAGAGCTTATATATCTGGCTAAACATGTTCTGCTAATATCTTTCGAATTAGATATAAATGAATTTAAATTCCAGAAATAACTAGTAATTATATTTTTATGAGTATTAACAGTAAACAAATTTATTATTTATATTTACTCATAAATGTATATTTTTTTAATCTAGTAATCCTAATTTTTGGTTTTAACTAAGCCACACTTTTTGACACCACCATAATAATATAAAGGAAACACCAAATGAGAAGCATTAAATACAGATGATTGGTTCATGATGCAGTTAACAGCTTTATGTTTTTTCCCTCCTGTTTTGTAGGTCATTATGATAACTGCAGTGCATCATGTTTTGATGAGGTTATAAAGAGTCTGACTATCTTTGACGGAAAAGACACACCCACCACACAGAGGTGTAGCTGCAGAACAATGAACTCATGTTTCTGAGAATTTTTAGAAGGCGCGTGGCCTGTTGATCTCATTTTATGGGGCCTCTGGTGGGCAGTCCTACCAAGAATAGTAAAGCTTAGTTGATTGCGCAGGGTTTTAAATAGGTGCAATAAGAGAGTAATGAATGGAGAAATAAGATGTTCAGCTGATACCAAGAGGAGCTCTTATCTCCTGAACTTTGAGTCCTCTCCTCAAAACCGTGTCACTTCCAGATGGATCGTCAGTTTGATTCTTGTTTTTGTTGTGTTCAACAAGGAAACAGATGCTCGATGTGTTCTCCTTGAGTCAAAAAATGAAAAAATTGCTTAAAAAACTGCACAGGATTTCTGATGGTTCAATCTATAGATACTCTTCTTCTTCAGATCTGTATTCCAGCGATGATTGGGTAGATGTTGATTTGTTGCTTTGGTAATAATAGAGCAGTCACCTGTGTGAAGAAGATGAACAGTGTTGAGTGATGTCATAGATTAATTTAAGTATTTGTTCTTGTGTTAATTTGTTTCAGAACTCACGTTTAAATCCTGAGGAATACTTCACCAAATTGGAGCGCATCGGTAAAGGCTCTTTTGGAGAGGTTTATAAGGGCATAAACAACCGCACCAAAGAGGTTGTTGCCATTAAGATCATTGACTTGGAAGAAGCAGAAGATGAGATTGAAGACATCCAGCAGGAGATCACAGTGCTCAGCCAGTGCGACAGCCCTTATGTCACCAAATACTATGGATCCTATCTGACGGTTGGTGGATATTTAATTATTTTGGCAACTGCTTTTAAAATATCATCTCATCTCATGTTTTTTTTCATAAATAATTCACCCAAATGAAAGCATTTGAAAAAAAAAAAAAAAAAAAACATGACTTCCTGAAAGCACTTTCCAATAACATGAAAGGGATATTTCACCCAAAAGGTCTTCAGTAGTTCTTCCTTTGTGTTCAACAGAAGAAACTCAAACAGGTTTGGAGCAGTGTATGGTGAGTAAATGATGACAGATTTCATTTTTGGGTGATCTATCCCTTGATTTAGCTCATGCACCAAGTATCATGAACTAAAAATTGACGTTAAGATAGACAAAAATGTAGTAACTCCTGCAAACATTATGTTAATAAGTAACAGTTGCCTACTAATATTACTTTCTGGCTCACATGTCCTTCCAAACCCACCAGGCTTTCATTTATCTTTAGAACATAGACATTTTTATGAAACCAGAGGTATTTCAGCCTCTTAGCTGAAACTCTTTTTGACCCCACAGTTGAGGAAAAATACTGCATATGTAATCCAATGCATTAATACTTATAAATTCTATAAAAGTTTTAATCTTTTTAGTGATCATTTATTTATTTGAACTTAAAAGTTTATATATGAATATATATATATATATATATATATATATATATATATATATATATATATATATATTCATTCATTTTCTTGTCGGCTTAGTCACTTTATTAATCCGGGGTCGCCACAGCGGAATGAACCGCCAACTTGCCAGCGGATGCCCTTCCAGCCTCAACCCATCTCTGGGAAACATCCATATATATATATATATATATATATATATATATATATATATATATATATATATATATATATATATATATATATATATATATATATATATATATACTGTATATATATATATATATACAACAGTTCTGTCTGGTTCTCAAATCTGATTGGCTGATAGCTGTGCGATACTCTGCAATATCAGAACTCCTACAGCCTCTTTACCCTTTGTGTATTACTCCACCCACATACAGCCAGCAAAAAGCAAACACTACAGATCTAAAGTTTAAAAGATGCACGCTCAACTGTTTAACTGTCAGCTTATGATTTGAATCCGGAAGAGAGTAGTTCCTCATACAAAAGGGTTTTTGAGACTCTCCATGTTTAATTTTGTTTTTATATACACAATTATGCAGTCAAACTGTTGTATAAACGCAATATCACACTCGTAGCAGTGCGATATGGCTGTATATCTGCACTGATGGAGGCACTAATGCACTCGGCCTGCGGCCTCTTGCCAACGCACGCCTCCCACCAGTGCCGATATACAGCCATATCGCACTGCTACTCGTGTGATATTGCTCATATATATAACATATACACACTCACACACATAATTCAATTCAATAGTCATTTGATAAAAAAAAACAAAGTACTAATTTTTTTTTTATTTAAAGCAAAAATGTTTAAAAAAATGCAGCCCATTTAAAACATTATTCCAAAATAATATTATTATAAAATAATATATATAATAATAAATACCAAAATAAAAGACAAAACAGAAGTGATGATTAAACGTACATTGTTTATACAAATTTTATTTTGTGGTTTATTGTTTCTCAGGGTTCTAAACTATGGATCATCATGGAATATCTGGGAGGTGGATCCGCTCTGGATCTGGTGAGTTGGCTTTTTCGTCACATTTGTGTTTTTTTTCTAAAGCTATTGAAAATAGCAAAATCACCTTTACTTAACATGTCTAATTTTTTTGATTTTAGCTCAGACCTGGAACTTTGGAAGAGGTGTATATTGCCACCATCCTCAGAGAAATACTAAAAGGACTCGACTACCTGCACTCAGAGAGGAAGATTCACAGAGACATCAAAGGTGAACACTTTAAATTTGCTTCTGTTTTGTAATTGAAAATGTATTCACAATTTCCTCGCCCTAAAGTGGTACCAGTGGAACATTTGTTTGTTTTTTATTGAACACATAAGACAATATTTTGAAGAATGCTGGAAACTGGTAAACATTGACATGCATACAGACAAACAAATACCATGGAAGTCCATGTTCCTACATTCTTCATTCTTTTGTGTTCATTAGAATAAAGAAACTCATACAGGTTTGGAAACATGAAGGAAGAGTAAATAATGATTTATAATTTTGGGCAAACTTTCTATTTCTGGCAAGACAGTACATGTTAAAAGAGTTTTAAAAAACCTAATAGTTATTGTCCCACTCACCAATTGATTATTGAGAATTATACAAAAATGGGTATTACATGTTTTTAAATATGAAAATGAGGCATTGTTTATCTAATATGTGCTGAGCTGCATACATTTCTAGCACAAATATCTGACCATTCAATGAATCAGGTTCTAAATTATTATTTTACATAATGTTAGTCAAAGTTTTTTTTTTACATAGGCTTTTTTAATAAATCTCTTTTTTATCACTTCATAATTCAGAAAGTGCTGTCATGAGCCAGAAAAAATAAAAATAAAAAGCCAAATTCTGAACATACCTGGATAAGAACCTTCAAAATACAGATATGAAAAAATCTGGTGAAGTGGAGCTAATATGGAGATTTATGGTTCAGGAATTCAAGAGAAAAAACTCATTTTGAGCAAATGACCTTTAAAAATATGTATTGTACAAATACATAATGTATTTGTAACTAAAAACTGTATTTGTAACTAAAAAAGTGAAAGTGTGCCAAATTAACTTAAAAGTGCATTTTTTTCATCAAATTTTGAAAAGCCAAAAAGCCAGATCTCAAAATTGACAGATGCATGAAAAACATGTGTAAAGGGCGAGACACGCTATGTTTACAGTTGGCTATTGTGCAGCATCAGGCTGCTGATGAGTGTCTGTCAGTCTAGTTTGTTTGGTGTGTTTCTCTCATCAGAGAGAGTTTGCCCAATTCAGCATGTAGATTCTGTGTCAGCCATCCAGAGTGCTCTGATTGGATGTTCAGCTACGAATCAGCTACAGCTCCAGAAACAGCTATGAGTGCGAGAACAAAAACTGAAGTCACGAAACTAAGCATACAACAAGTCAAGAACTAACACAAAGAAGCCGACTGACAGTCTGTTGCATTTCTTAAATATTTGCAAATTATATAGATTATCATATTAACATAATTACATGAGCAAATCCCTTTATAGTGATCGAGAAATACTGTGAAAATGGTACATAAAAACTGCTTTATTTATAGTTTGTATGTGTGCAGCACTAGTTCGTTTTCCTTTGTGGAATGACAGATACTGATACAGATACTGCCACCTGCAGATAAGGAAAGATAAATGAATATTCATGCAGATGCTGAATGTATGTTCTTGTTTCAGTCCACTGTTGTGTTTTTGGTGTGTTCACATGCAGGTTTTTGGTTCAGACAGTCTGTTTTCATTGTCACTAATTATTTGATGCTGACTTTGTCTGTCGTAGGCGTAACACTAAATGTCTCTATATGAATAACCTCTACTTTTTTGTTGTTGTTTCCAGCGGCCAATGTGTTACTCTCTGAGCATGGAGAAGTCAAGCTGGCAGACTTTGGAGTGGCCGGTCAGTTAACAGACACGCAGATCAAGAGAAACACTTTTGTAGGGACTCCATTCTGGATGGCACCAGAGGTCATCAAACAGTCCGCTTATGACTTCAAGGTACAAGCACTTCCTTGTTCTGCCAGTCATTGAGCTCACAGGTATCATGTTTAAGTCTACCACATGAACATCTGTTAACTAGTGAAGGCCGCTTCTGTCGTGCTCAATTAAATATTCAGAGACAGACAGATGGCACAAGTACTGACCCCCCGTTTTATACTTTTTTTCTCCTTCACCTCTCTCAGGCTGACATCTGGTCATTGGGCATCACTGCCATCGAGCTGGCTAAGGGAGAACCACCAAATGCTGAACTTCACCCCATGAGGGTCCTGTTCCTCATCCCCAAAAATAACCCCCCCACGCTGGAGGGCTCCTACAGCAAAGCCTTTAAGGACTTTGTTGAAGCTTGTCTCAATAAAGAGCCACGATTTGTTAGTATCTTTTTTTATTTTTTAACTTATTAATTACAAGAATTGGGCTATGGGGTTGGCTAATATCTGTATATTTACTATTTCTTGGGTTATGCTGATAACACAGATACCAATCATGCCTTAATCTGCCAAACTTCCTGTCTACCATTTTGATTTTGTTCAAACCATTCTTCTTTTAACTCCTCCTGGAGCGTTGGTCCGATCTGCAACAAATTTGACTCTGATTACCTTAAGACCAGAAGTTTTGGAATTCATGTCGGTAGACAAAACTGTTGTCATTTAGCATAAGCGCAAACTTGATTTAATGCTGTCAGATGACATTACAGGCTGAATCACTGCAATGGATTGAATTTTTAAAACCAAACTTAAAGTGTGTGATCTAGACCTGACATTGACCAAACTACATCAGTTTGCACCACCTTCTGGGTAAAATTGACAAACAATTTAATTCTATTAATTGAAATCATACAAATTTTATCAAATGACTTTTGAATAGATTTGTCTATTGTCATATATTCTTGGATCAAATAGAGAACTTTGATATAATATATTCCCTAATTGACCCGACTTCCTGTCCACTATCTTGAATTAGTTTGAATAATCTGTTGTTTTGAATTCTCCATAGATCGTTAGCCCAATTTCCACCAAATTTTGCTCAGACCATGCTGACAAATTGTTTTAAAATTTTCCAGCTGCTTTGTAGCTTGTTGCCTTGCTTGTTTATGATGTGGCCCTGATAGTTGCTGCTTGCAGCTATATTTATTTAAATATATGTTCATTTATAAAAAAAAGATTAGAATATTAAGTAAAGATCATGTTCAATGAAGATATTTATTCAGTTTTCTACTGAAATGATAGAAAACTTTATGTAATTAACTTTTGTTATAATTTTGTTACAATTAATTTTGATATAACATTAAAGGTGAATTTCTGAACACTCAGATTTTAGATTTTCAAATATCTTAGTCAAATATTGTTTCATTCTAACAAACCACACATCAGAAGAAAGCGTATTTAGTCAGATAATGTATTAACCCTTATGACTGCCTTTGTGGTCCAGGGTCATATATTTTATATTTGTGTATTTATGCAAAAAGCTGATCTTTATATATACAAAAATTACAGTCATAATATATATATATATATATATATATATATATATATATATATATATATATATATATATATATATATATATATATATATATATATTATCTTAAGCAAATCTCAAAATAAAGGGTTTTTGTTTTAAACAAAACTTTACAATATCTAAATATCCTTAAATGTAAATTCTAGATTTTATAAAAATTTTTGCTACATAGTATACAATTTTAATATCAGACATTGATTTATTATTGCCATAACACAAAAACAATGATAGACTTTTTATAGTTAATTTCACCCCATTTTTACATCCATATTTCCTTCACTAACCTTTAACAATGAAAGTGGGAAGTCTTTAAAAAAAATGCATTTAATGGTACCATAAAATGTAATCTCTAAATGAATGTACATTTTGAAACTCATAACTCAACCCAGCACTTAAACTAAACTAAGCACTTAAAATTGTTGGATTTATTACTATTTTTTGCTTTCATAGACTTTTATTGTTAGTCTTATATATCTTGTTTAATCTCCATTTATGACATGATTAAAAAATGATTGCCTTTAAATATAGTTAAGTGAGCAGCTTATATTTGTTTTGTGAAATGCAACTTGTATCTAATAATTAATTTTTAACACAAATATTTCAAGAGTTCACACTTAGATATTGCTTGATAATATTAGCAAGTTTGGCATGCTGTCCTGGGAGAGAACCCTGAGCTTGGAGATAACTAAGCCCAGGGCTCCTGCCTGGTCGATGAGCATTTAAGGTGGTATGAGATCAGGTAGTTCTCGAGAGTAAATGAGGAAAAGGTGCAGATGCGGGATTCTTCAAAAAAGAAAGTTAAGGGAATAATGCTAGATGGGCGATTTATAGTGAGTTTGGATTAATCTGATTGGCTTATTAATGATTACAGATGGGAGACCAGCCGCGATCAACCCTATCACTTGCTCCTCTCAAAATTAGTTTGTGAAACTTCACATAATCTTTAGTTTTTACTTAACGTTTGTCTTAAATTTGAACTTTGTGTCCTTAACTTTAATTTACATTTAAATTTAGACTTGTCTACTGTCTTTCAGACATTGCTTTTTTCTGATATGCTGTTTTCATCTAACAGAGACCGACAGCCAAAGAGCTGCTGAAACATAAGTTCATCACCCGCTACACCAAGAAGACGTCTTACCTGTCGGAGCTGATAGATCGATACCGCCGCTGGAAGTCAGAGGGCCATGGGGAGGAGTCTAGCTCTGATGACTCTGACATGTATGTGTCTGATCCTCATTCCTACCTGAGCAATCAGAAAAAAAGGAGATCTGTGAAAATCCAGTCAGTTTACTCTGTGTGTTTGGCTCAGGGATGGAGAAGGGGATGACCGGGACCAGGGGCCCATGTGGACTTTCCCCACTGTTCGGCCCTCTACCATCAACAAGCTAAACAGAGGCCTCAGCCATTTAGACAACAAGGTAAAAATATGTTCAGATGTAGATTAATATTACAAAAAGAAAAAAAAATTTAACAGCACCATTAAATAATTTTTGCAAATCTCAAAAACACCTTCTGTAAATATTTTCTCATGAAAAAGAGCATAAAACAAACCAACGAGCTACTGTATAATCACAACACTAACAACATGTACATTTCAAACATTATACGATAAACATTGGCAAGATTTGAAGCTAAAGTTTTAGAAAATTGGGTCAAAAAGAAGTTTGTAATTAAAATAAGTATTACAATCACATCAATCAAATAAAAATGTATGAATGTGTGCATATTGATCTCCTGCTGTAATGAACAGTGCAATGCAGCGGGACAGCGGATTGTAACAAAAATGAAAGTTGATTGTTATTTGAGGCTACATTTTGGTCTCTTTTATCATCAACCATATTGCATGCTGGTGTAGTCCCTGTTAGTATTAAACAATATTCATGTTGTTTCATTCAATCTTAGCAAATTAAAAGTCATTAACAAACATTCACCCTATTTTTAATCAACACTGTGATGTTGAACACAATTCTGAAAAAATATCTAACTATGGCTGCATGATATTAGAAAAATCTGACATTGTGATATTTTATTTTTCCTGCGATATATATTGTGATATGAATACAATTTCGGCAGATGACCTGAATAGCTCTATTTGAAATGAAATCATTCATTTAGATTAATTGGAATAATCTTGTAGCGAAGTGGATCAAAGAAAATGCAATAAATACATAAGATAAAAAGTCAAATAAGTAGTCAGACGTTCAGGAACAGGGCATCTGGAAAGTATTCATAGCACTTCACTTTCCACATTTTTTTATGTACAGCCTTATTCCAAAATGGATTCAATTCATTTATTTGCTCAAAATTTCTACACACAATACCACATATTGTCAATGAGAAAAAAGGATTGTTTGAAATTGTTGCAAATTTATTAAAAATTAAAAAAAACTGAAAAATCACATGTACAGAAGTATTCACAGCCTTTGCCATGAAGCTCTAAATTGAGCTCAGGTACATTCTGTTTCCACTGATCATTCTTGAGATGTTTCAGCAGCTTAATTGGAGTTAATCTGTCGTAAATTCAGTTGATTGGACCTGATTTGGCGAGGCAGTGGCGCAGTAGGTAGTGTTGTCGCCTCACAGCAAGAAGGTCGCTGGGTCGCTGGTTCGAACCTCGGCTCAGTTGGCGTTTCTGTTTGGAGTTTGCATGGGTTCGCGTGGGTTTCCTCTGGGTGTTCCAGTTTCCCCCACAGTCCAAAGACATGTGGTACAGGTGAATTGGGCACGCTTAATTGTCAGTAGTGTATGAGTGTGTGTGTCAATGTGTGTGTGGATGTTTCCCAGAGATGGGTTGCGGCTGGAAGGGCATCCGCTGCATAAAAACTTGCTGGATAAGTTGGCGGTTCATTCCGCTGTGGCGACCCCGGATTAATAAAGGGACTAAGCTGACAAGAAAATGAATGAATAAATAAATGGACATGATTTGAAAAGGCATACTCACAGGGTTGACAGTGCATGTCAAAGCACAAACCAAGATGAAGACAAAGGAATTGTCTGTAGACCTCCGAGACAGGATTGTCTCGAAGCACAAGGCTGGGGAAGATTACAGAAACATTTCTGCTTCTCTGAAAGTTCCAATGAGCACAGTGGCCTCTATGATCCATAAGTGGAAAATGTTTGGAACCACCAGGACTCTTCCGAGAGCTGGCCGGCCATCTAAGCTGAGTAATTGAGGGAGATGGGCCTTAGTCAGGGAGGTAATCAATAACCTGTTGTTCACTCTGTATGAGCTCCAGCATTCTTCTGTAGAGAGAGGAGAACGATACAGAAACACAACCATCTGTGCAGCAATCCACCATTCAGGCCTGTATGGTAGAGTGGCCAGACAGAAGACACTCCCCACCTGGAATTTGCCAAAAGGCATCTGAAGGACTCTCAGACCATAAGAAACAAAATTCTCTGGCCTGATGAGACTAAAATTGAACTCTTTGGAGTGAATGCCAGGTGTTTTGTTTGGAGAAAACCAGGCACTGCTCATCACCAGGCTAATACCATCCCTACAGTGAAGCATGGTGGTGGAAGCATCATGCTGTGGGGATATTTTTTAGCAGCAGGAACTGGAAGACTAGTCAGGATAAAGGGAAAGATGAATGCACTAATGTACAGAGACATCCTGAATGAAAACCTGATTCAGAGTGCTCTTATAATATTAATGGAGTGGCTTCACAATAGCTCAGTGAATGTCCTTGAGTCCAGCCAGAGCCCAGACCTAAAACCTATTGAACATCTCTGAAGAGATCTAAAATGGCAGTACACTGTCGCTTCCCATCCACCCTGATAGAGCTTGTGAGGTACTGCAAAGAGGAATGGGCAAAAATTCCTAAAGACAGGTGTGCCAAGCTTGTGGTATCATATTCAAAAAGACTTGACTTGCAATCTCTGGCAAAGGTGCATCAACAAAGTATTCTGAATTAAAGGCTGTGAATACTACTGTACATGTGATTTTTCAGCTTTCTTATTTTTAATAAATTTGCAACAATTTCAAAAAAACATTTTTTTCACATTGTCATTATGGGGTATTGTGTGTAGATTTTTGAGGAACTAAAAGAATTGAATCAATTCTAGAGTAAGGCTGTAACATCAAAAAATGTGGAAAAAAGAAGTGCTATGAATACTTTCCAGATGCACTGTACAGTAATAGGATACAATACGATATTATCAAGATATTTTGCCCCGGTAAGGTTAGATCATGATATAAGAGATATTCATTCATTTTCTTTTCGGCTTAGTCCCTTTATCCAGCACGTTTTTACGCAGCAGATGCCCTTCCAGCCGCAACCCATCTCTGGGAAACATTCACACACATTCATTCACACTTATACACTATAGACAATTTTTAGCCTACCCTAATTCACCTGTACCACATGTCTTTGGACTGTGCGGGAAACCGGAGCACCCGGAGGAAACCCACGCGAACGCAGGGAGAACATGCAAACTCCACACAGAAACGCCAACTGACCCAGCCGAGGCTCGAACCAGCGACCTTCTTGCTGTTAGGTGACAGCACTACCTACTGCGCCACTTCAGAGATCAGAGATATATCACATGAAAACCATCCACAATTTTTCATGATATTTGTAAGTGAAGGGGAAAAATTCATCAAAAGTTGTAAGATGTATTTCTTTTACCAACTGCACATAAATGTTGTAGAATTGCAACAGAAGATCACTTATTTGAAGTCATATTACCGGTAACAGAGCTGTGTTTTCATTTTCATTCCCAGACATCAGATGTTATGAAAAGGCAACCAAAGTCATCATCTCTGACATCGTTCATCACACCAATCTTCAAAGAGGTAAACAATTCAGAAACTCACATGCATGTCTGCAAACCTCCATCAATGAAAACCCGCTGCAGTGTCGATTCTGGACACATGGATCAGCAGTCTGGTTTGTTGTGTTTGCAGTTGAAGGAGAAGCGGCGTGTCGGTGGGAATGGTGTTTGTGCTGTGGAGGAGCTGGAAAACGCCTTCAGCCTAGCAGAAGAGTCCAGTCCCGGAATCTCTGACCGGCTGCTCAATCACGTCATGGAGAGAGTCTGCAGGTAAACAGACCTTCAAAACTACACTGCATTCAGTCTCATATGTGCTTCTGTACATACTAGGAATGTCAAATTCCCAAGATTAATAGTCGTTTAAATAAGAGATCAATTAAATTTCATTTAAAGCTACAAACCATTCGTTTTTTTTTATTAAAAATGAATTTTTAAACCAGTATATGACCATTAAAACTATCTTAGCCTGATTTCCAATAGTAAGCTTTTATAACGGGAGTGATACAGGTGGGATTTTGCTGGAAATATGTGCTATGTTCCAATTTGCATACTAACACCAAAAAAATAACATACTTTTCAGTGTTTAACAGAAGAGAATGCAAGATTTCAGACTACTTAACCATTTCATACGTCACTATTCTGTTGCTTACAGTAGTTACAGGCCCTGTCAATCATCTCGTCACATCATCCACATTTCTTTCATGTTTAATTTCTTACTATATTGGTAATGCAGCAGGAGGTCAATCTGCCATTGCGGAGACATCTCCTCAGATTCAGAAGTTAGTAATCAGTCATTTCCTAAGTTCAACATTGCTGTTGCAGATGAAATATTAGGCTGAAAATGTGAAATTCGTTCAATATTAAGTACATTTGTTACATATTAATTTACATTAATTCTGACATTTTTCCAATTTCTCTCCATTTAGAAAAGACTCTCAATTAAACCATCTGTCTAGTGCATCCACCATGTTTCTAGTTTGTTAACACCTTTTAAACAACGTTTGTAGTTCTTATTGAACTCACATCTAGCATGCAATGTATACAGACAATGTACACGCACAGATCTGCACTTTGAATTTTTACCAGAAATAGTCGATCATCAAGAATTGAAAACTTTGGATTATTCAATTCAACTTGGGACATGCTAATTCTTTTTTTTCTTTTCTTTTTTTCAGTGTAGCAGCATAACCAATGCAGCATTTCAACTTAAAATGGGATATATTTTCACTGCCAATAATTTTTTTTCAATACAATATAGAAAGTAACAAAACACAACGTAAAAAATTAAATAAACAAAGTAAATAACAAAAATGATCAACTAACAATGTAAACAATATTAATAACAAAATTTACATAATTTAGAGAGGGTCAAACATTCAGTACACCTAATATTCCAACTCTGTATTAAATAATATTAAACTTTAGTTTCTAGTCTGAAGAGGAGACCGTGAGAGAAAGCTTACTGGTTAAAAAAATAGAAAATGCATACCTTGCAGATTAAAACCGAGTAACAATTATTTTATACTTCTACAAAGTCTAGATAGAGTAACCTTACATATTCAGTCCACTTGGTCCAGATATTTCTGAATACATTCATTTGAAGGTGAAGGGAAATGTGATTTTTTCCATAACACAAATGTTGTGTACAATTTCCAACCACACTTGGAGAATATGCCAATTCTATTTTCAAAATGCCGTTTCAAATGGATAGCGATGGGAGCTGTCTGAATATACTTACGTAAATAGCTGCAATTGCGCCTTTCAAACAGAGATGGCAGCAAAGAGGCAAAGTTTATAAACTGCAGCTTTACTAATTAAAGAGGTCTACTTCAGTGGGACATATTCACTGCATTACATTTGGAAGGTGTCGCCTCTATGCCTTAATTATTTTGATTGGTTTACCCTCCGGAGTGACAGCTTTGAAAGGATGAAGGATGTAGTGGTCAAAAAAAAGCTTCTTTTTTTTGGAATGCACATCATTATCCTCATAATGAGACGATTAAGGAGGCGTGCATTTGTTAAATTTTTTCCACTAGTTGACACCCACAACACACACTTGGAAATCTGAATAGATTGTTCAGCCTACACATTAGTTATTTATTTCTAATTAATTATTTATGCATGTTTGTATGCATTTAGAACTGTGATTGATTTTACATTGATTTTAATTCTAAATCATTTTTATTTATGAATATCAAATTAAATGCCTATGGAAAAATTAAATACATACATTTATAGGTAAGATTAACCTCACGGTGCATTCACACAGTGCTTCAGCGTCAACGCTTGACAGAGGGGGTGTCTGAAGTTGGGGTGATGCGATTTGTCATATCAGCGTCAGCCAATAAAATTAGTCAGCAATCGGCTACTGTCTGAGCGGGTGTATTTGCACACAGCAATCTTATTGCCTGACGCTTCCGTCGGCACTTGAAAAGTTGAGAAAGTCCCAACTTCTGTAGTAAGCAACGCCACTGGAGTGCCGCCGACGGATCCACAATGTAGTTCGGCAATGCCTGACGTCACCCATTCAAAGTGAATGGGAAGCGTTGATGCTGACGCCCTGTGTGAATGGGGTGTCAGAGCCTCTAGTTGTCATTCTGTGCGACATCAAACAATTTCCCTGGGCAAAGGATCATGGGTGTCTGAAGTGTGCATCAGTCATATCTGGGGTGCCCAAACACTGTCCTGGAGGGCCGAAGTCCTGCAGAGTTTAGCTCCAACTTGTCTAAACACACCTGTCTGGAAGTTTCTAGTATACCTATAGAGCAGGGGTCACCAAACTTGTTCCTGGAGGGCCGGTGTCCTGCAGATTTTAGCTCCAACCATAATCAAACACACCTGAACAAGATAATCAAGGTGTTATTAGGTATACTTGAAATACACAGGCAGGTGTGTTGAAGCAAGTTGAAGCAAAACCCTGCAGGGACACCGGCCCTCCAGGACCGAGATTGATGACCCCTGCTATAGAGTTTGATTAGATTGTCCAGGTGTGTTTAATTGTGGTTGAAGCTACAATCTGCAGGACACAGGGCCTCCAGAACCGAGTTAGGGCACCCCTGAGTTATACCCTTTAAAGTTGCCTGTTTTGCAGACTTGTGCGTGAAGCCGTCATGTTTTTTTTTCTCACTTTGAACTACCCTTCGGAGGGCGATATATCCCATTTAAAAACTCATCGGTTATCACCGGCATGACAGAATTTACAAATGATACTCAAAACTCAAGCATCTTCACCTAAAGGAAGATGTACTTACTGTAAAATAAAATTATTATTGATTAAAAAAATAAATATTAAAAAAATTGAATGATTAAATGAAGCGATGTTCGATTAACTGTTGGCATCTCTAGTACACACGCTATCTAATATGTCATTTTCTGACTATGCCAGCTTTTCAGGTCATGCAGATTCTATGCTGTAGGATGTTGAACTGCATGCTGCCCTGAATCCTGCGCTGGAGTGAACTTTGGAGACTTGTGTGTCCCAATCCTGCAGGTTTACGCTCAACGGAAACAGCTTACCTTTAAAACGCTGAGGTTTCTCTGACCAGCCTGATGGACAGACTCTCCTGATGCCCTCGTGAGCTGGTCCTCAGCGCCCACCAGCTGAAGACCAACCAGTCTGTCCATCACCGCTTGTATGATGAGATGAGTTTACAAGTTTTCTTTGTAGAATTTTCAATGAAATGTAAAATATGAAACTGAAATGTAAAATACAATATGATGCCAATGAAATGTAAAATATAAATCGTATGTGCATTTGGTTAAATGACAGTGCATTTAACTATAAATTAAATAAACTAATGAACAAAGGAAAATGTTGATTATTTGTGCATTGTAATTTAAAATACAGTGTGTAAAGGGAAAGGTTTGAAGGGTTAGTTCACACCAAAATGTACATTTGTGTACTTTATTTTACTTATGTCATTCTCACCCGCTTTGAATGTTATCATGCGGTTGAATGGGCATTTGTCAGTGGTTATCAGCTGATAGACAATGATAGACTCAGAAGGGTGTTCATTTATCCACACGGTTAATCAGATACACTAATAGAGAAGACTCCAGGTTCAGATCTGTTTATACATTATTGTGACGGTTGGGTTTAGGGTTGGGGTGGATGTTAATAAAATACAATTCATGAAAAATGTTATAAATAATATAAATAATTCTAGTAGTCAATCAGCTATACTAGAGAAGACTCCAGGTCCAGATCTGTTTTTACATTACTGTGACGGTTGGGATAGACGTAATAAAATACAATTTATGGGAAATTGAATAAATAATAATTCTCGTTAACTTCTGGCCGCAGCTGTATGTGATCTATAGCTGATGAACCATGTGGATGGATGATAACAGTCTTCAAAGCCTACCAGAAGGTGCAGAAGGCCCCTACTGGCCCATATCAATCAGCTGATAACCACTGATAACGCCCATTCAATTGAGTGATAACGTAGATACGCAAGATACGTGCAATGAAAGCTGAGAAATTTCTAACCCAGGCTCATAGTAAACACATGCCTCACCCTACATGTTTGCAAAATGTAAAATACTTTACTACAGGTGTTTTGTTGTATGTTTCGGATGACAAATCCACTAGAGGGCGTTGTCTACGTTTTTGCAAATCTGAAATGCGTTCCTTAGGTTGTTTTTTGTTTTAGATACTGGTCTTCCTTCTGCACGTCCACGAGAAGGCAGAGCTTGTCATAGAGATTACCTAGCGAACCTAAACACTTCCCTAAACCCAACCAATAGTGTTTAAAGTCAAATGTAAGGGAAAGTGCACTGCCATCACGAAGTTTTACCTTGAATTTACAATACTTTTTTCTCTTTTGCGAAACTGTGCTTCACTGGACTTGAACCAGTGATCTGTATCACATGTAAAACAACGTTCAATGTAAACTACCAAGCAAACTGACCACACTAGAAAAGTTGTCTATATGGAGATAGACAGGTGAGGCAAATGTATTCGATTACAAATCATAGACACTGTTAAGTTGTTTTGTGGTATTTAATTGGTGTTGTGGGAAAAACTACACAAAAATAATCATTATTTGTTGATAACATGTCTGTAAATATCATTAATGTGAAAAGGAACTAAATGTATTGCCGTTATACTGCCCTCAAGTACTCACTTTACCTAGAAACTGCAGTCAAATGTTGAAATGTGTTTAAGCACTTTCACAAAAATGCAGGCTGAAATGCACATTTACAATGAGCGTGTTGGAAATTTCTGCCCAACTGAATGTCTTTCCCTCCAGAACTTTGATTCTTTGAAAAGATTATAAAGATAGTGTATCTGTACATGTAATTTAAGAGACTTTAATGTAATTAAATCTCTAACAGGCTTTGCTTGAAATGAGAATTGATCAAATGTATTTTTGAGTCTGATGGCTGCAGTTGTGCTTACCCTATTTGATGTGCTGTGTTGATCATTTTATATAGATGAAAAAAGTTTAAATACACTACCTGACAAAAGTCTTGTCGTCAATCCCAGTTCTAAAAACAACAAATAGTAACTTGACTTCTAGTTGATCATTTGGAAAAGTGGCAGAAGGTAGATGTTTCTAATGAATCATCTGTTGAACTGCATCCCAATCATCGCAAATACTGCAGAAGACCTATTGGAACCTGCATGGACCCAAGATTCTCACAGAAATCATTCAAGTTTGGTGAAGGAAAAATCGTTGTTTGAGGTTACATTCAGTATGGAGGTATGCAAGAGATCTGCAGAGTGGATGGCAACATCAACAGCCTGAGGTATCAAGACATTTGTGCTGCCCATTACATTATAAACCACAGGAAATGGCAAATTCTTCAGCAGGATAGTGCTCCTTTTCATACTTCAGCTTCCACATCAAAGTTTCTGAAAGCAAACAAGGTCAAGGTGCTCCAGGATTGGCCAGCCCAGTCACCACAGATGAACATTATTAAGCATATATGGAATAAGATGAGCAAGGAGGAATTGAAGATGAATCCAAAGAATCTTGATGAACTCAGGGAGTCCTGCAAGAATGCTTTCTTTGCCATTCCAGATGACTATTAATGAGATATCCGCGTCTACAGAGATGTATGGAAGCAGTCCTCCAAGTTCATGGGAGTCATCCACAATATTAATTCTTTTTCCACTGCAGCATGACTTTATAATCTATACTGTACATTATTTCTGTTAAGTGACAAGACTTTTGTCTAAGCAAAGTCAGACCTTACTGTCCTAATTAAATATTATTAATCAAGGCACAAACATATTTTATTTTGGTAAAATAAGTGTAATCTAGAGGCCTTTGACTTTTATATGAGCCTCTTTTGATACCAAATGATCAACTAGAAGTTATTATTTTTTGTTCCTAAAACTTGGATAGACGACAAGACGTTTGTCAGGTAGTGTATGTCTATTATATGAAGCTATGTAAAATTTTATTATTTTTTCTTATTAAACTATTTGAATATAAAATGTTGCCATTTTAAGATTATTATTTTTTTATATTATTTGTATTTCAAATTTATATTTGTATTTTTTCTGTGTTCTCTCTTATATCTCTGTTTAATCTCATAGATTTCTATTGGTTTCATTGTTTTAGTATTAGTTTTCATTAGTGTTAGTATTTAAATTTCAGCAATTAGCAGCATTTTAAAGTATACAAGAAACATTTATATTTTCTTTTAGCTTAGCTTCATTTTCTAGTGAAATTTCTAGCATTTTCAAGCCAATATACATAATTTGGATTTTCTGTTGAACTATACCCCTTTAAAAGTCAACCAAAAGATGAGAAAGAAATGTTTACACAGTTCAGTTTTTATTTGATATCCCTTCAAAGTCATAACATGCGGTGTGTACAGGATATGCTAAACAAAATAAATAGTAAAGTCGGAGACAAGCGATTTGATCAGAACTCCGTTTATCGCCTCACCGAAGGAGACACAACAACTGAGGTCTTTCAATAAACTCCCTTTTCTCAAGCTTAGCAGTCAGATATGGATTCAAAAAGTACATCCATCCCACTTATTGCCAAATACACACAAACGAGAAAGAAATAATGATTCCAGTCATTGCATAAAATGTACAAAAATGGGTGAATCCCACGAGCCCACAGTGCATTAGTGGATGAAGAGGGATTTGAAACACGTCGGAATACTTGAGCTCATGTCGAGATGAAAAGCTGCTTACAGTATATTATCGAGTACATAAAGCAACACCACTTATTGTGTGGCCGACTAACACATTTTTTAGGCTTGCGCAAGAATTTTCAGGCCTATAGTCGGACCTTGTACAGCATTTTGAACAGACAAAGCCAAAAAGCCTTATAAATACAATCAATAATCTCCCAAATCAGATTCCATACAGATATGTCATCGTAAAGTGAAGGCGATAAGTAAACACTGGTAATGCTGTCACAAAATAAATGCTGTCCAACTCGGTTTCGTCATGCTACTACAAATGACAAACTGGCCTTCAAATGAAAAGAGAACGTAACGTGTTTATATGTTAGATATCAACAAAAGCTGTTTTCACCACAGAATAAAAAACCTTTTTTTTTCTTCTCTCATTTGCGAGTTTATAGGCTTACTTGGAATTGTGAGTTACGTGTTAATAACTATGAATTATGTTTCTAAAATGCCAAATAAGTCTATAAACTTGCAATTCTTAGAAAATAAGTGAGAATTAAAACGATATAAGCTCAGAATAGCGAGAAACCTTAAACACTCACAAATGAGAGAAATATAACTGCAATTCTTAATAAAAAATTAAATAGAATTTCAAGAGAGAAACTCAGAACAGGTATAAATGAAAAAAGCCGCAAATGAGAGAAATATAGCTGCAATTCTTAAGGGAACAAAATCTGCATTTCAAGAGAGAAGCTCAGAATAGAAAAAAAAAAATCACAAATGAGAGAAATAAAAGTTGCAAATCTTAGAAAATAAGTGAGAATTTAAAAGATTTAATCTCGGAATAGCAAGAAACCTTAGACACACATAAATGGGAAAAATATAGCTGCAATTTCTAAGAAAATAAGTCACTATTTCAAGAGAGAAACTCAGAATAAAAAAATAAATAAATAATCGAAAATTAAAGAAATTAAGAGAAAAAATAGAAACTCAGAATAGAACCTAAAAAAAATAAAATAAAAGTCACAGATTTAAATAAATAAAATGGTCAGAATTACAAGACATAAGCTCAGAATGGTGAGAAAGCCTAAAAGTTTGCAAATGATAGAAATAAAGTTGCTGTTTAAAGAAAAAAGTCAGAATTGCCTGAATTTACAAGTCACAAATCTAGAAAAATGTCAGAATGTTTTTTTTTATTATCTTATGTCACTTTTTTTTTACATGTATTTTTTAAATCGTAACATATACACTCAATATTGTCAGATAAAAATGACAGCGATTACATTTTTTTTTTTTAACTTTTTTAATCCTGTGGTGAAAACGGACTCCTATAGATATAGTTCACACAAATATTGTTTGTAAACTTGTAAATTATTAATATGGTTTAAAAACACATATACAATATAATAAAAGGGAGCTGGCAGATTTAGTCTGCTGCTTCCCAAAACTTTAGGATTTAGCTTCTGAAGAACATCTTTGACTCAAATTTGCAAACTTCAACCGTAACTAAACTTTAACTTCACCAGAACCACTTCATCGTCCCTGTGCATAAATGAAAAAGTACAATATTACACCGTGAATGACCATCATACCCCCATTATTGAGCAGTTTAGAGCCTATTATTCACAAAAAAAATTAAAAGAAAAATCAAAACTAGTGACATTTGTGAATATATCATTTAAACAAAAATACGTTTAGTTTGGTTAGAATTTTTTTTTTTGGTCAGTCTTAACAGAAAAATAAATATCTGATTAATTTTTAGAGTTCAACAAAAGCCAATCCTCTAAATAGTAACAGTCACCTAATAATGACCTTCAAAGACTTACTTTGACCTGCTCTGCCAAAACGCCATTCAACAAAACGGCCGTCTCATCGACAAAATAAAGCTTCCTCCCTGTACCAACATCTCACCCTCGGACCTTTAAATGGGCGAAGGCACTCGATCATACAACTCCAGTTTATGAGCTACACAAGCCTGTAAACATGCTCACTGACCTTTATATTGTTTCAAGATCAGTTAGACACATTTGACAGCTCCAGTCCTTCATCTCACTTACCGCACCAGCTGGACTTCATACAAACCCTCCGTTTGTCAACTCTCCTTCAGTAGTTTTCAATCATGTTGTCCCAGGATTTTTTAGTTAACGGGACTAGATTTCTACTGAATAAACAAGAGTCCTGAAATTGAATCTCATCCTAATGACAGATTCCTCTCAGCGAAGACCTTAAAAACATCAATACAGCAAGTGTAGCATTAGCAAGATTATCTGGATCTTTAAGGAAAACGCACAAACATAACTTAATTCAGTCGATTGCATTTCTACAAGAATTATTTCAGTCTAATGTGGTTCTAAAATGCCAGATGCACACTTTGTGTTTCATTATCGAGAACACAAGAAAGAGAAATGTTGGGCGAGTTACTGAACATCAAAACGTTGACCATTATCTTCAGTCCGAGGTTGAGCAAAGCAGAGCAAACAGTCCAGAGTGAAGAATTAAGTTATGATGACGCCCCACAGAGTCAGAAAGGATAAACTGATGAGGTTTTGTTCCTGAAAACAGCGGGCCCAGCCCTCAGCTCCAGGACATCAGTCTCACACTTAGTTCCCAACGTTCACCTCTGCTGGGCCTTTGGGTACGAGCAAACTCATGCGTCCCGTGGCGCTCGCTGCACTTTTGATCACCTCCATCCATCTGCAGACACAGCAGAGCACGTCCAAATGTTATTCAGAATCATTGCTTCACTGTTTATATATCATGGAAGTAGTGTAAAACAGGAAACACTGTAAGGAACTTTGTCAAATATACTTTGTCAAATAATCTTTAGATTATTAATAGATATAAAATATGCAAACACTTTTGGTCTCACTTTATATTAAGTGGCCTTAACTAATATGTACTTACATAGGAATTATTAGTTTGTTACAATGTATTTATTGTGTACTTATGCTTGATTAAATACCTGTATGTAATTACATCTGTAAATAACTTCTGTAATTACATTTGTAAATACACTGCTGACCATTCCGTACACCTTAACCCACATTAAACCTACCCACACCACCAAACCTGTCCCCAACCCAACCCCTATCCCAACTCAAGAGCACCACAAGTGTTCTCAAATCCTTTATGAACACAGTAAGTACATTGTATTTATTTTTTGATGTAAGTACATAGTAGTTAAGGACACTTAATATAAAGTGGGACCACACTTTTTATTAATTGCACACAGTAGACATTCTCATGGTGGTCGAGAGAGATCAAATGCACTGCAGGTTAAGAATACACTGGCAAAAAGAAAAACAACAACAAACTGAGAAAACATCAAATAGACAACACAAAAGTAAGCATTGGACGATAAACGGTTTCAAGGCTTAACGCGATTTAGAAGAGTCAAGGTTTTAAACCGCTAGAATTTTCTGCTATACTGTGCCTAAGGTGTAAGTAAGCTTTTTTTATATGCTTTTTTATTGTGTTATAAAGAAAGCTGTGTTTTTGAAACTAATGAAGACAGTAAAAGTCAATGATTTATTTTAATTATTTAGCTTGACAGTTTACTAAAATGTAATGAATCTAATTTAAATCTTTCCTAAAATAAAATATATTGTGTTCAATGGGGAAAAAAGTTTTTTTTTTTACCCAGACATTTAAAAAGAATTTATTTTAGAGCAGTAATCACAATACCATGATATTTTTATTCAAGTTATCATAGCGTCAAAAACTTACATTACCCCATGCCCAAGCGCACACATTCTCATAACACATGCAGATACAGAAACATGCTGCCAAGAGCAAACCACAGATGGAAATTAAACGGCTGTTAATTTAGCATAAAAAAACATGTTTTAAAAGTATTATGTGGAATGTGTAATATACCTGTAGCAATTCTTTGACAATAATAATCACATCATCATAATCAAACTAATTCTCAAATAATCTTTTATTGAAAAACGTTGAAATGAAACTGATTCTTTAAGAATGCATTATAATTGATAGAAAATGTGACAGTATAAACATTTGTAAAGCTACAACATGTTTCTATTTCAAATAATTGTCATTTAAAAAAAATATGTATCTACAAATAAATCTTTTTCAATTTATAAAGTTGACATTTTTATGAAAACAAATTTATCAGACAGCACAACAGTTTTCAAAAAGGATTCAATAATACTATTAGGATATTAAAATGTCTTCTGTAAAATCATGCGACACTGAAGACCGAATGAAATGATGCTAAAAAACATGACCAACCAATAATATATTAAATAGTTTAAAATAAAAACAGTTATACTGATTGTATTACATTCATTTGGATCTGAACTATTGCACAGTTAAAGAGAGCCATTAAATTCTTTTTCAAACGTTTCCCAAATGGTGTTTAACAGAGTGAGGAGGTTTTGTCAAAAAAAATAAATAAAAAATTGTTATATTAAAAAAAATATTTATTATTAAAAATATTTTATATTAAATAATATATTTAATTATTTAATATAATTAATAATTATATAAAAATATTTAATAATAAATAATTATATAAAAAATATTTTGTCCATTATATTTTTCTTCTGGAGGAACGGTTATTTCTTGTAGTCTGGCTGAAAAAGGTCATTATTATTAGCCTCCTTAACAATTACTGTCTTTTGTCAATAAACTACAGGACAGAAAACTTGCCTGGTTAACCTAAATAGCCTAGTCAAGACTTTAAAATTGCTCTTTAAGCCAAATACTAGCATCCTGTACATTAACTAGTAAAATATGATGTACAGTCTTGGCAAAGACAAAAGAAATTAGTCATTACAACTATTATGTGCAAAAATCTATTCAATTTTTTTTATGTCACAGCAGAGAAAATATGTCTTCAATCGTACACTAATTCAACACATATCCGAATTATGAAAATGATCAAATTAAAACAACTGACGACACCAAAATTAACTGATAAGAAACCAAGAATAACCAAAACATGAAAAGAGAACGATTTTCAAATCCACAAACATCACCTTTCAAATGTGTACTCGCTCTCTGCCCTGAAGAAGTAAACATGGGATTTGAACTGGAGCTTGAAGACGTATTCTTTATGAATGCTGTCTGATTCCCCAGGAGTGCTGACTGTGTATCCCAGCAAAGGCAGACTGGCCAGAGGGAAATCATCCTGCAGCAAAAACACAAACCCTTTAGAAATGATCCAGATCTCATGCAGGAAGTTCAAGCCCGTGAATTTGATTCATATTTCAGTACCTGGTGCGTCTTATAGAAGAACAGGCAGAAGTTGGTGAAGACAACCCATAGTTTCTGCCAGCCGTTGCTGTTCTTGAACTTCCTCAGAAGATAACCAGACAGCTGGTTCTGTAAAGTGGGAGAACATGACTGTTAAAACTCACAAAAGAGAAGAGCACAGAGAGAACTCATTTACAAAGGACCACTGGTACAGCGGTAGAGGAGTTCAGCTGTACAAAGAGCTGAGCGCGAGAGAGTGAGGATTTTCCAATTTAGCGGATAGAATTCATACGCTCTACACAGATTAGTGGTGAGAAATAGATCCTAAAAGGGAACTGCTTAATGACTGCAGTTTATTTGTATAGCACTTTTTACAACAACAAACGTGACAAGCACAGAGCTGTAGAATCATGAAAAATAAAGCTGTAATTGCAAATGTATTTTTAAATGTTTTTCAAATATATTAGAGATTTTAATCATGTTTTTGATTATTAATTTACTATTCTGTTTATTACTTCATCATATAAATTAAAGTGAAAAATAAATAAACAAAGAAATAAATAAACTAGCCTGACAATTAAAATGCAAAAAAAAAAAAAAACAACAACAACTGATATTTCGGTCACACTTTATTTTGATGGTCCGTTTGTTGAATTTAAGTTATATTGCATCTGCATGCTTATTAGATTATAAGGAGACTGTTAGGGTTGGGGTTAGGGTTAGTGTAAGTTAACATGTACTTGCAGTTTCTTATAGTCAGTTAAATGTCTGTTTAGCAGCAGTATCAGCAGACATTAAGCAGACAGTCTACTAATACTCAAATGGACCATCAAAAAGTGTTACAGATATTTTAAAACACATCAGATAGTCACGGTTACAAAGATCTGGAGGGAACCTGTTTTTTTTTACTGCAGTTTGGTTGCACAACATAAAAACCCTTTTCAAGACTGACAAAGGATGAAATCTACATTTACTGTTTATTTTTTTAGTGCACATGATTAATTAAATGACAACTTTTTGGTGCAGGGGGCGATGCAGTGGCGCAGTAGGTAGTGCTGTCGCCTCACAGCAAGAAGGTCGCTGGTTCGAGTCTCGTCTGGGTCAGTTGCAGTTTCTGTGTGGTTTAAATGTTCTCCCTGTGGCAACCCCAGATAAAAAAGGGACTAAGCCAAAAAAAAAAAAAAAAGAATGAATAATTGGTGAATGTTTTTTAACCTTTAATCACAATCTGACCATTTACTTCTGCTCTGGAACGGTGGTCCTTCTCAGATGATGTCAGTTTGACGACTTGGGTGAAATATGCTTAAACACTCTCCTCCAACCAATACAAAAATGAAAGGAGGAGTGAAAAATAAAACCCCGCCCACTCAATGTTCCACTATAGTTTTAAACACATCTTACTAAAACAAAAGTCTGCAGCATATTCCAATTCACACAGATTCACAAATGTTTTTGTTAATTAGCAATAACAAATAAAGTAATACAAATGCATCCTCAACGTATCCGCAGGGTCTTAAAAATAATTAAAAGTTAAAATATTTTAAGGTCCTTAAAAGTAATCAAAGTTAAAATGTTGTCAATGTTGTCGTTTAAAACCCAAAGTGGCGATGAGTTTTTAGATGTCGGTGAAGTCTTAAAATAGGTCTTAAACGGTATTATATTTCAGTCTGATTCCGGTATATCCCCTTTATAAAATATTTAAATTAAACGTATTAAATAAAATCATGTGCATCAACATAAAAGGTCATATAATGTATTTTGTTTAAAATAAATAAATATGTTTTAAAGAGTGAAACCTCTCGCGTGAGCACTACTGGAGGGGGGGTTTGACCAGCCTGGTACCTGGTTCATGCGCAGATAGTCACTGAGAGACAGGTTCTGGTTGCGGTACCAGCACACATGTGTGATGGTGTTTGGTCTCTGGCCCTGACCGAGCAGATAGCGAGGGGGAAGCTCTGGAGACACGGCTGGAGAACTGAATACTGTCAGCAGGCAGGCAAACAAACACAGATAATGAGTTGATGAAGACAGAATGAGCAACAGGCAGCAACAGAGAAGAAGAGCAGAAGACCAAAACTGTGTTAGCATGTTAGAGTTCAATCCCTGAGTGCTAAAAAGCGAGAAATTTAAACTAATTTAAGTCTTTAGAGAGGAAATGTTAGAAGAACAGAAACATCCATTAACATGTTAAGCAACTTTTATTCCAAAAGGCAGTTAATGGTTAGAGGAGACAAATGTTACAGACATACAGTAAGAGGGGAGGTGGAGAAGCTACTGGAAAATATGAGGGTAAAGAAGAAGGAGACAGAAGCAGAAAAAGAAAACATCCAAGAGTCTTGGCCCCTCATCCACAAGCTTCGGTTGCAGTCCAGACCTCAACAGCCACGATCGGTGGTGTGTGTGCGTGTATATGTCAATTTTTATTTTAAAGACATTAATTTCTTTGTCTCTTTCTCTAGGTAGTGTTTGTACTGAACTTTTTTTTTGATCTTTGTTGTATTGAATATGCAATAAATAAATAAATAACAAACAGAATTGGCAATTGAGGATATAAATGTAGATAGCAAGACAAAAAATCATTACAAAATGCAAAATAAACAAATAAAGAAGATAATTTTTTTTTTCCTTCAGCATCAATCAGTATCAATAATATAATTTACTTTTCAATCATAGGTCGACATTTTCAGTTATTATTTTCAAGTTATTTTAAAGTTGCTTTTTTGGGGGGAGGGGTTCAATTTTACTAATTGTTATTTTAGTACGTCAATTTAAATTAAATGAGAAAGTTTTCATCTCACATCCCTGAAATGAAATAAGTTATTTTCATTTTATTTCAGTTAATGTTTATTTTGTTTAGAGTAGTTTTACTTTTACAGTCTTAGTTAACTATAATACCCTGTTAAGTCTGGATGAGATTTCATTTGATAGTCTTGAACTTTGTTCAAGATAAAATAAAAATTTAATTATTCATATTAATAAACACATAATAAAATAAACATAAGCAAACAAAAAGCCATATAATTACAAATTAAATAATTTGAATCTAAAATGAATATTAACTAATTTAATAATTCAGGTTCTAAAGTATTGTTATATATATATATATATATATATATATATATATATATATATATATATATATATATATATATATATATATATATATTTACAGTTGAAGTCAAAATTGATAGCCCCCGTTTATTTTTTCCCCAATTTCTGTTTAAGTAGAGAAGATTTTTCAACACATTTTTAAACATAATAATTTTAATAAATCATTTCTTATTTTATCTTTGCCATGATGACGGTAAATAATATGGAAAATTGCTAAAAGGGGCTAATAATTTTGACTTTAAAATGGTATTTAAAAAATTAAAAACTGCTTTTATCCTGGTCGAAATAAAACAAATAAGACTTTCTCCAGAAGAAAAAAAAAAAATATCAGACATACTGTGACAAATTCCTTGCTCTGTTAAACATCATTTGGGAAATATTTAAAAAAGAAAAAAAAATTAAAGCGAGGCTAATAATTCTGACTTCAATTGTATAAAATTTCAAAACAATTGTTTCTTTTGGAACTATGACCCAGGCGTAAATGTATAAATGCTACCTCCACGGCGAGGCTGTGGTCAGACATGGAGACGCTGGTGTTGCGGTGCCAGCACACATGCATGGTGGTGTTGGCCCTGTGGTGACTCTGCTTGTCCAGCGAGCAGCGGGACGAGTTCATGTCGTCCTCTGACTCCTGCTCCAGAGAAACCTCATCTGAAGATCCTTAATAGCGTGTGGAGGGAGAGGAGGAACAGGAGAGCAGGAGCAAGAGGAAGGGCAGGGGTTTACATCTACTTTAGGCTGAGGGACACAAACACTTCTAGAGGACTAAAGCACTGGAGGAACTTACTGTTGGAGCGATCGCACAGACTCGGGTCCAGCAGGACGTCTGATTTCTCCTGGCATTTCTTGGACATCTCAATAGCCATGTTCAGATCTTCAATCCACTTGTTCATTTCTACCTTGGAGCTGTTTAGGAGAAAAATAGTCCGTGAAAAATGACCAACCACAACAGATAGAACAAAGGCAATGCTGACAGTGAAAACTAACCAGGCATTAAAAATGTATTGTTCATCGACTACTGTCTATTTTCATCAAGACTCCAGTGTTACAAGTAATATAGCCATCAAAAAAATTAAGATATATTTGAATTAAAGGCATAGTTCACAAAAAAATTTCAATTGTGTCATCATATGCTCACCATCACATAACATCATTTACTTGAACTTGTTTTGTTGAAGACAACAAAAGATACACTGAAGAATGGTGGAAACAAGTAAACCATTGACTATCAAAGAGTTTTTCTTTTCTACTATAGAAGTTAATGCTTACAGGTTTTCAGTTTTTTTCAAAATATCTTCATTTGTGGTCAACAGAACAAAAAAAAAAAACTGGTCTGGAATAAGCAAAGGGTGAGTAAATGAAGATAGAATAAAAAAAATTTAACAATCCCTTTTAATGTAGAGTTGAGATCTGGGATTTAATTTTGCTAACACATCAGATATTTTGAAGCAGCTTTGAACAGTGCAATAAATATGCAAGAAAAAAATACAATCATGCATGCAATTTGCAAAATATGCATTAGAAACACCGTAACCTTTGTCAATCACTACAAACTACTGTTGATCAGCTAATAGTGAAATCATTAAATTAGTTCAAATTGAAATAAATTAAAAACTAAACCACTTTATCAGACAAATAATATATGGTAGCTTTATAAATAACAACACAATTTAATTAAACTCCAGGGTTTTTCCAATGTGAAAACAGCTCTAAAGTCTCTTTCCCACTCTTTGGGCCCTATCATACAGCCGGTGCAATGCGGCGCAAGGCTCAATGAAAATGTTATTTGGTAGCTTCAGCTCTACGCAAGTGTCATGTTGATGTTTTGCGTCACGCTGTTTAAATAGCAAATGCATTTGCACTCACGTGCGCCCATATGCGTCTAAAAAGGAGGTGTGTTAAGGCGCATTGCTAACGCGTTGCTATTTTGAGGAACTAAAATAGACCGCTCAATAGAACAGCTCAAAGCAGGTCTAACGTCCAGTGCAGAGTGTTAGTTGTGCATCTTGCTTACACATTGCTTAATACACACAGGATGTACAGCTATTCATAATATCTTTACAAATGAAAAAGAATTAAAGGATTAAATGTTACAATAATGATTACTTTATACATGAATATAAAAACCACCGCCTCCATGCCTTCTTCATCTCGGGGGCCATTTTTAAGTTTCTTCATGACAACTTGCTTTTGTATAATGTTATTATTAGTAGTAGTAGTATTTATTACATGCATATATATATTTGTTTATTAAAAACAAGCTTAGATTTGTTTACAATTCGTTATTATTGTTCATTTATTCGTTTGCTGGAAATTAGAACTGAATTTATAAATAGTTTAAACAAATCTTTGCGCTTAAACTAAATTGATTATGTAGGCTAATGGATGTCTGTGCGTACAACACAATTTCTTATCCACGAAAGAGAGAAATTGAAAGTGAAAGTAAAGGTGAATTGGAGAAGGCTCATCTCTCTTTCTCGCGCTGCAGATGGTGTGTTTGATGTTTTCTCACTAATGAAGCGTTCAGTTTTTCCACCATGTAAATGACAAATACGCCATGGTGCAACTCAACTGACTTCTAAAGGGAATGGGAGATGAGACTCTCCGATTGGTTTATTCTCAAAAAACACCCAGGACTCATTAAGAGAATAAGTTCAACTCTGTTAGACCATGCGTCGCAGCACAGAGCATATCTTTCCATTCTTCCATTTTTTCAGATGCACCCTTGTGTTTCTGACTTTGCGCCTTGACTGTTAAAATAGAGCCCTTTGTCTCTCACCTGGCTGCCACCACAATGGTCCTCTGAGCAGAATAGATGGTGAAACAGTGCGGCACAGACCATTCGTTCTCACTCTCCTCAACCTGTAAACATAGAGAAGTACAGAGAAGAGCTTTTTCACACTTCAACTAGTTAACCCTGATGATAGACAGATTGCTTTATAATTCACATTACTCATTACTTATCCAGTATTAAATACCCAGGCTATTTAAATGCTGAGGCTTTACACTGTATGTTTCTATAATACAATGGGTTAATATCCTAACTTGTACTGTCAATATCACCGATTAGATGAATGCACAATGTAACCCATTTAAATGAAAGCTCTAGCATTGCAATCCTTACATTGCTGATATTTAAGCTTCTCGTGAAGTTTCAGAAACGTAATGGTAAGAATCCAAAGTTTTGAACCCAATTTTGACAACTGATATGGTTTGCATGTCTATTTGATAATGACCTTCAGTAACACCTGTTTGTATGATATGAATGCTGTTTTAATGGCATATTGAAGCACGTAAACATAAGGAGCACGATTGACTGGTTGCTAACATCTAGTCCTAACATTTTAAAGGGACAGTTCACCCCAAAATTGAAATTTACTCAACATGTACTTACCATCAAAGTTCTGTTAAACACACAAACCTTTTTTTTTTTTTTTTTTGAATGTTGGAAATCAATAAGCATTAGCGTTGCTTTAAACTTATGTGCAATATTGTGCTAAATATGTGCAAAACATTTGCAAACAAAGCACTATTATTCAAAGGGAACAAAATGATCACTTCCTGATAAACTGGTGCCAAATTTCAAAACTAAAAATGAAATTTGTTGCGGTACGAGAAGCCACTGTGAGCTTTTTTTCTTATATAATAAATGACTTGAAAATGCAATGAAAATGCAGTCCATTAATGCAGTTTCATAGCATTAATTAATCAAAATCACATGACTTTTTTGATGCAAATTTAGGTATCCTGTGTTCAAAGTAAGATAGAAAACCAAAGTTTGGAGCAAGTCAAAGATTATTAAATGATGACAGAAGATTCATTTTTGGGTGAACTATCACTTTAACACTGTTTTAGCACTCACTGTACACATACAGTGCATGTCTGACACTGAAAAAGCAATGATAACATTCCCCTGAAACAACAACCCAAGGGGGAAAATAGCAGCTTCTAAATTACAAATGAGAAACATTTCTCTAGCTGGGATCAAATGGCTTATAATTAACTTGAAATAAAGCACAGTGGGAAAAGAGACTCCTATCAGACCTATAGCATCTGCATGACTCACATTTTATGGGATGACTGATCCAACCACAATATGTGGCAAAAATGTACTTGATAACATCCTGACTATAAGCAATTCCCAATTCTACTGAAGCTGGGGAAAAGATGCACAAGGATCGAAGGAAAAACAAACGTTTGGGAGAAGAGGATTGTGGGATTTTCCTCATACTCACAGGAGCGTCCAGCACAATGAGCTGCAGGAAGAAGCGAAGCACAGACAAGTCCTTTGTAACAGTATGCATTGTAAACATATTTCTTCTTTATAAACCCTTTTATTTCCACCAATAATTTAATTTTTTTTTGACCATTTCTAAAATTATTTCCATTTCTAATTACAAAGTCACATGTGAATTGTGTTCCTTAAAGCATTCCAAGTTATTTTTTGAATGTTTTGTTTTGATGATAACCTATGGACAAAAGGTCAATCATGCAATTAAAATGTTGGTTAAAATATTTTTAAAAATCATTTAAAATGTTTGGGAATTGAAAGTTTAGGTTTTAAATAACAATACACATTCCCAACATTACAGTTATACTATATGTATACTGAATGAACAAAAAAAAATAGATTAAAACATTGAAATAATGGTTTTCAATTTTATAATGTTTTAAAATACACTATTCCTGTGAGGGCAAAACTGAATGTTCAGCATCATAACTCCAGTCTTTATTGCCACATGAAATTTCATAAATAATTGTAATAAGCCCATTTGATGCTCACATAAATATATATGTATATCAATGTTGATAAGAGTTGTGCAGTGATCTACTTTCCCTTTATTTTTTTAATTGTTTGAAGAAAAAAGCTTAAAAGAATGTTTATTTATCAATTCTTTGTAACAATTTTGAAGTTGTTCACCAAAACAATCTCACGCCAGTTCTTTTTTATTTAGCAACTAATTCATATTAATTTGTATGACATCACACATACAATTTAGTACGGTTTGCTGATCCCGTAATGACCATTGGATTAGGAGTGGGGTTGGGTGCCAAAGCTTTTTAAAATTGTACATATTTGCATGGCTGAACTTTTGTATAACTGAATTAGCCACTAAACTGACAAATTGTAAAATAGTGCTTTCCTCGTTTTCCTATATATATATATATATATATATATATATATATATATATATATATATATATATATATATATATATATATATATATATATAAATTTATGCTAAATAAACATTTTCTTTAAAAAAAAAAGTCTCATTATCTGAGTTTCCGTCTTAATGTAAAGCAAATCTTTTTTTTCTGAAGTTCGGAAAAAAGAAAATAAATTCCAAATGTGAATTAGTTTGGCTGACTGTAGAATTGGTAACCAAGCAATCAACAGTAAACAAGGGCTAAATGTTGTTGCTAAATCAGATAGGGTTGCGGCCGGAAGTTAGTGAGAATTATTTAAATGATTTTGTAAATTCCCATTTATTGTATTTTATTAACGTCTACCCCCACCAAAACCCTAAACCCAACCGTCACAGTAATGGAAACAGTAGTTGTGCCGAGTACTATTTATGTTATTTATTAAATTACCCAATAAATTGTATTTTATTAACACAACTTAAATATTGTATCCTATTAAGACTTTACCATAAACAAGGCAAGCATAATGGAGACAGCTTTTTAGTCACATGGGTTTATGCAGCAAAATTGTTTCCATCTCCTATTATTCGCAATGACCCTTTTTTGCACAAGTTCAAAACCACCTAACGAGCATGTAGCAACTCTTTTTATTTTTATTTAAAAATTTAAAAAAATACTCCTAACACTTCAAAATATCTCATAAATTGTGGATCAGGACAGAGCACACATGCAAATTCCCTTTAATAGTACATACAGCAAATAAGGCAAGATCACTGCTTTATGAAAACAATGCTAAGATCTGAGAGAGTGCAGATGTTTAAAGAAAAAAAAATCCAGTGTAAACCTCATTTATCACTGCCTGTCTGTGAACTTTCATCTCAGAGAACCCAGCAAGCCATATTAATTCCATCTTTACTTAAAAAAAAACATGTTTCTGAAAGAGTCCTCTTCTTATTTTTAAAGATGGCTAAGTCTTTTCAGTGTAGCACTGGTCCACTGGTTTGGACAGGGCCACTTATCAAAAGGGCTTTTCAGGAGAGCTGGATGACATAAGGGATGAGTCGTACTGATAGGGAAAATGAACTAAAAACTCAGCTGAATAAAACTAAAATGAGGTGTGTGTACTTCTTTTTACCAGTTGTGTGCTATAGGGTGATTACCAAAAATTTCATTATAGCCAATAAAAAATGTGCCTTATCAATCAAGTAATTTTGATTCTTTAGCTCATCTTTTTAAAGCCACTGTAGGAAAATTAGTGCTGTAATGCAAGAACAACTTTCTATAACAAATCCATTGAGTGGATGATTAAAAAACCTTTAGAAAAACAAACAAATCCCATTCTAGTTACCATTTTGCGGTGTATTAATTAGGGATTAGTGATGGGTCGTACTTGAACGATTTGTTCATTTTGAATGAATATTTTGTATGACTCGAGAACGATGAGTCCTCTCAGGGAGTGATTTGTTTATTCGCGCATGCTCACATTTGTGAAGGTGGAGTAGAAGATTAGTTCCTTTTTCAAGTCTTCTATCAGGTTTGACTTATTTGTTCATCACATGAAATTCAGAAGCCAATCATATGTAATCAGAGTCAAAAAAAGATTTGATTCATTCATTCTGAGTCCGCGGGTTTGAATCATCTTTCTTTACATGCTGTCACTTGATGAACGAATGACTTAAAAACCAGAATACTCAAAAGGTGAACTAATTATGGCTTCCTTCGGCTTAGACTGTCTCCACTGGTTAAGCTTAGACTGTACTTTCTATGTGATGTGAACGAACCACTCAGATCTGAAGACCTGTCAGAAGAGGTGAGCTGACATAATCATAGACAAAAGACCAGGTAAACAATAAATGATTATTTTCTCTTTCTTATAGCATTCTAGTTACGACTTGTTTGTAATGTGATCACTTTTGGTGTTGTTGTAGATGAGTATGAAAGCAACTCCTAACATTTTAGGCCAATTAAACAAAATGACTCGAAAAAAGATTTGTTCACCTCGCTGAATGAGGACAGTATTCAAATTTATGCTGAGATCTTGGAGTGCACATTCAATGGACATTTTATTACCCCATTTAGGCATATTTTACATAAGAGGAGTCATAAATGCAAATTACGTGACACCACTGATGCAGCATGTCACGTGAAAAATGTACTTAGTGGATTTAAAACACCCAAATGGCATTCATGTTACACACACAACCAAATATCTCATTAAATGATGCTTTCCTTTGATGATCAAGATTGTCAAGAGCATTACATATTTAAACAGTATGCCAGCATGCATATTTAAATGCAGCAACGGTCTGTTATGTAATGCTCCGATTTGTCAGGCTTTTTTATTTTAACTTAAGTGGTGACTCAATTCACAAGGCCCTTAAATCAAAGAACCATCCACATCTGAAGGTCATATGAAATAAGGTACAGCATGACATAACGTATACCATTTCACATGCTACAACAGTTTATTTATACATTATTCCAAATATAATTCCTGGAAATACTCACAATCATCCCATGCAGAGGAAGTTGCCCATGAACTTTGAACTGATTGGTTGCAGTGACCCCTTTGCTTGTGTACAGCAGCATGTCTGAAAACTTCAATAGAAATGTTTTGAGCACAGACAGAAGTTTAAAAAACTAGAAAATGATATTAAAAGTCGAGTCTTACAAGAAAAAACATTCTCTGCTGGAGACCCTTCTTGGTGAGCTTGTAAAGACAGCCTTCCCTGATGAATTCCTATGGGTGAAACAAAGAAAACAAATACAATGGTCATTCAAAGGACTGTAGTCCATCGATTGTACTAAAATATTGTTTGGCCTGTATTAAAATAGCGTTTGGTCAATAGGCCTGCACGAATTGAAAAAAAAATCTAAATGTGATTTATATGATCAAAACTGTCATTTGCGATTTACTATAATTTTATAAGAGAGCTGCATGTTTGATGTGGTGGTTTTAACAGCACCGAAGAAACACTAAAAATAATCCCAAACTATGCTACTGTTTATTTAAAACCATTTTTTCCAATAAAGTTATCAGTTGTCATGACAAATTAAGTAAATAATTTGTGGGTTTTGCTGTAACAGTTTTCAGCTTTTAATTACGTTAGTTGGAGTGGTTTCGTTACTCTTGCGCACCTCCCTTGTCATATTAATAATCAAAATAATTGCATCTTTTGCGATTTAAAAATCGCACCTTTTCAAATTGCAATTTTGGTTTAAAATTGATTAATCACGCAGGCCTTTTAGACAAAACACTTAATTGTACAATGCAACAATCTGGAACTGCAGATTGTTCAGTTTTCAGCAACTCATTTTACATACTGTAAAAAATGCTGGGTTCCACATAATTCCTTCATGTTGTCCCAAAACAAATTGATAAAGTTAACTTGATTTTCGTGGATTTTAAGTGGACTTAACATAAAACAATTACACTGTCCCAAAACAACTTAAGAATTGTGTTGTTTTAACTTATTTTAAATAAGTAGTTTAAACAAGCAGCAAAAGTCATTTGTTGAGTTCAATATTTCCATATTGGAGACTAAATCTGTGACTTTTGAAGTATTAGTTCAGATCCATAAGGACTATATTTCAAATCAAAAACAAGATTATTTAGGTTACACCATTGGCAGATGTTTTTGCTTGTTTTAAGGAAAAAAAACTCACTTCATTTTGACTTGTTATTTCTAGAAACAAAACAACTTCTTTTGCTTTCTAGAAAATACTCCTTGATTTAAGTACTCTTTGATATTTAGACTACAAACAAGACAAACATTTTACAGTGTAAATCTGGGCTTCAGCAAGTCTAGTGCTAAAGATTAAGGGCTCTATTTTGACGGTCCATGCACAAAGCGCAAAACGCTTTCAGGGCGTGTCAGGACGCGTTTTTGCTAATTTAAGGACGGGAAATCTGCCTTGCACTTTGGCGCATGGTCTAAAAGGGTTGAGTTTATTTTTTTAATGAGTTATAGGTGTGTTTTAAGAATAAACCAATTAGAGTCTCATCTCCCATTCCCTTTAAGAGTCAGCTGCGTCGCGCCAGGAGCGCATTCACTTTTTACAGGACGCAAAGTAAGTCTAAGTGGAAAAAATGAGCAATTCACAAGCAAACAGTTAACAGTTTTTTAACAGAAAACTGTTAAACAGAGCATCTTATGCGTGAGAATGAGAGATAAATGATCACTTTCATTTTCACTCTTGGATAGGGAAACCTTTACGCACAGACATCAATTAGTCAATAAATAAATACTTTTGTTTCTTAAGTGCAAATATTCGTTTGAAAACTATTTCTAAATTCAGTTCTAATTTCCAGCAAACGAATAAATGAATAATAATAGCAAAATGTGCTCAAAAACCTGAGTTATATCCTAAAACACATGCTGTGTCCCATATGGTCTAAAACCTGACAGGTGGACAAATCTAAGCTTGTTTTTAATAAAACAAATTTACATATGGATATAATAAATAATACTGCTAATAATAACAACATTATACAAAAGCAAATTGTTATGAATAAACTGAAAAAGCCTCCCGAGATGAAGAAGACATAAAATCAGTGATTTTTCATATTTATGTAGGCTAGAAAATAATATTTTGTAATATTTTAATCTTTTATATTTATATCCTATATCTATTCTTATTCTATCCTATATATCCTTAAAATTTACATTTTTTCATATGTAAAGATATTTGCCTATTGCTCTCTTGTGCGTATTAAGCAGTGCGTAAGCGAGGCGCAACTCTGCCCCGGAGTTTAGACCGGGTTAGTTTTGGTCTAATGAAAAATCTATCATAGTTTCTCAAAATAGCAACGCGCCAGCGGTCTGCCTCAGAACGCCTTCCTTTTTAGACCAGAACGCCTATGGGCGCAAAAATGAGTGCTAATGCATTTGCTATTTAAACAGCGTAGCGCAATGCCTCAAAACGACTCTTGCGCCAAGCTTAAACTACCAAAAGACTACTGCGTCACGCCTTGCGCCACACTGCGCCGGGTGTATGATAGGGCCCTAAAGGTCTTTGCACACTGAAGTGCGGAACCTTCAAGTACGTATTGCTTAATCCATTCAGAAAAAAAACTCAAAACATTTCAGAGTCTTTTCAACCAGTGATGCTTCTCCTCTCTCTTTTCCAATAAAGAAAAAGAAAGAGAAATATGCTACATAATGTGTTCATCCAATACTAGAAGGAGTTCATTTCATTTCAAAGTTCATTTCAGAAAATCAGAGAAATTTTGACACATTGCTTCTGATACACGTTTACGTACATAAATCCGGAACAGAGACTGGCAGTTGAGTAGCCTACTTATAGAGATTATAATTGGTTGTGGCACCATTGACATGTCAAAGCAATGGACCGAAGCGGACCATGAGGCGGTTATACTGTCTATGGGCAGTACATCAAATGTATAGACACATACACACAACAACTGTCTGCCGCTATCTGTCTTATATTATGCTCTGTGTTTGTCATAAAGTTATCTGTAGCTCAAACGATGGCATTCTGTATTTAGCTTTTCGCTTGTACAGTGGCTCTTAACTGTTAAAACACCTCTCAAAAGCGAATTTTATAAGAAAATAAAGATAAGAAAAACAAACCAAAAAAATTTAACCTGGTTTGATTTTTTTTTATGATGGGCAAAGGTTTCGGAGGCAGTGTGACAAGGCGATTTACACAACATGAGATCAAATTTATTTTTCAATGTGAAGTATCATGAGTTAAATAAATTATGGACGTAAATTTTGGATTCAGTGTGCAATAACCTTAACAGAAAACAGCACTTAAAACAGTCACACTCACTCTTCCAGGAGCTGTAAGGTTCTCAATGCCAATCAGGTCTCTCTGAAGTTCTGTCAGCTTCTGGAAGTTTTCCAGTCGAATCAGACTGCTCTGTAACTGTGTAGCGATCTCTGCAACCTCTTTCAGGGCCTCTGGAGAAATAACAATACATCACCATCCGCAGATTTTCAGAACAAAAAAATGTGATATTTATGTGAATAAGGTCTACCTTTGCAGTCATCGTAGTCTCTGTGCTGGGGTGAATAATGTTTACACAGACGCTCCAGGATCAGTTTGTAGTGCATGAGCCTCTGGATGGGTTTCAGCAGGAAGGTGTTTAGCGGCAGGTAGCAAACCTTCTGCAGCTCAAACTCCTTATACACGGTCTCCAGCTTCTTCACACGCTTGGTTGCCTTCTCCAGCTCGGTTAACACCTCATCGTGCTTCTGCAGGTAACCGGTGAACTCCTGAGGAGACAAAAGCAGCAAAGACATTAAATGAATTATGGATTAGCTCAAAAATCAAATTGAAGTCAAACGTTGTTTTTCTGAATTATCATCTTACCTTCAAAGAACACATGTTGCGCAGCATTACATCTCCGATTCGTTGGTAATCTCCTTTTACATGAGCGTTAGAGCGCCCCTCCCTGTGAAAATCAAAAACGTCAATCAAACAAACCCTTCATTAAAGTGATTTCTCACCCAACAAAAAAAATATATAGATGTTTCTTTCTTTCCTATTTACAAATGTCTGACTTTAAGGAAAAAGTGAGATTGGCAAAGAACTGTGAGGTGGGAATCAAAGCTGAGTAACCAATTGCCTCAATAGGGAGCATATAAAATTGCAGTATGATTAGTCAGATCATTTGTCAATCAAATCCTTGTGCGAGAGGTCAGTTACTTCATTGCAAAAAAGTTCTTAAATTTTTTTGACTTGCTTCTAGTCTAAATAGCTTAAAGTCTTTAACCAATAAGCATTTTCTAGACAATAAAAAACAACAATGTGTCTTCTTTAATGTCTTCTGAAGCCACAGTTAAGTAGGGTTTTCCCCAAAACAAGCAAAATAATCCTCCAATGAGTAAGTAAAATATTCTAACTTTATAAATCCACAATCAAACCAAGTGCTTCAGGGGTAATTAATGTGTCAGTGCTCTTTGGGTAAGGGATTCATAGAAATAAACAAAAAAAATCAATAATCCAAGGCACTTGAAAAAATCTTGGACAGATGATTTCTTTGTTTATATTATTTTATTTTTACTTATTAAGTTTATTTTACTTAAGCCACTGGCTAGCTTCCTTAATTTTGACTTATTATTTTTGAAAACAAAACCATGTTTTGTAACTGTCTGAAAAATGCTTCTTGGTGTAAGTATTTTCAGACTAGAAACAAGACAAAAACCTTGCGAGAAAAACATTTTATGGCATCTAACTGAATTAAACCTCTCACCTAATTTTTATTTGTTTTAGATTGCCTTTGTACAGTGTCACAAAAATGATGCTATATTTAAGTGGACATTATCAGTAGCCACAGCTGTAACACTTTGTGTTCACTAACACAGACTTAGACAAGTATGTGAACATTATTTAAGAGAAATAGGCCTTTTGTGTACATAGAAAACGTTCTGGGTCTGATAATTAGCAACTTTTGTCAGCTAGCAGTCATTAAAACATAAGTACACTGTCTGCTTAATATTCGTTAACACTTTATTTTTAATGGACTTGCAAAAAGTGCCTTGAACTTATGCCTTTTTTCGGGTGCCTTGGACTTATGATTTCTTTGTTTATATTAATTTATTTTAACTTAAGTTTATTTTACTTAACTCGTCTTGAAAATGTTTCTTGGTGTAAGTATTTTTGGACAAGAAACAAGACAAAAACTTGTAAGAAAAGCATTTTTTGCAGTCTCCCTCCTAACTGAATTAAACCTCTCCCCTAATTTTTATTTGTTTTAGATTGCCATTTTTACCCTGTTTTTAAAAGTAGTTACCTTTAATTGGAAAAAAAAAACTTTCCATCAGTTAAAAAAATGCTATTTTTTTTTTTAAAAAGGGTTTGAATCAGCATGAGAATAAATTACAAAAAAATTTTAACAATTTTTGTTTAATAAAAAACTACAATTTAAAGAAAATATACGCCAAGATGTATTGTAACTAATGAGAGGGTCTGGTACCAGAGCGCCAGCCTTTGGTCAATTTCTTTGAGAAAGCCTCGGTGGAACTCATAGATTGGGTCGATGTTGGAGAACAGGAGGGTCATGAGTCCCTCAGGCATTGCATTTTCTTTAATCACTGCACTGCGGAACCACTGACAGGAGAGACAGACACACACCAAAGTGATTAGATAGAGCTCAAAGCCAGAAATCCTCTAACAGACACACATTAAGCACATCTAAAGACAAACAAAGACCTCTTAAATGACACAGCAAACAGTACACATTGTACAGACACCACAGTGTGCATTTCCAGACAAGCCTCACAAGGTAAACTTGTTATAGTCGTGAGTCATGAAAGCAATCAGCTCTGCTCACCACTGTGATGACCTCCAAATCCTTCAGGTAAGTCCGCTCTGTTGTCAGAATCTCTTTTGCAATGAAGTAGGCTTTGTCTGTTGGATATCTCTGAAAAAAGAAAGCAGACTTAAAACCACTCTTTGATGAGTTATGTTCTCTGCACATAAGTTCATTAATATTATTTACACTCAAACATATAAACTTAACTCAAAGATCTAAAAATTTTAGGTACGAAAAAGGCCTGCTTGTTCAATATGTATTAGAAAAAAGGGGGAAGGGGCAGTAAACAAAAATAAGTATCTGTTGTGACCACATAGAAAGTGTCAGCTAGCAGTCACTAGAACATAAGTACATTGTCTGCTTAATATTCGCTAACACTTCATTTTGATGGTCGCCCAGAATTCATTTTAATGATTACAAATAACTTTGTGAGTGCAGGCCAGCTTATTCTACTAAATTTAACTCTCTACTACTTTATTAATACTGTAATAAGAGTTAATAGGCATGAAGTTGCAAAGTACCTTGCAATCAAAAGATTGAACCATCAATATAAAGCACTGGTTATTATGTAACTTCTGGGTTTTAAGGGGATCATCAAAATCTAGAAATTAACCATAATAACAGTATATATAATAGTAAAATATCTAATGAAAAACAGAATTTGAAAGCTAGAAATTTTGCACACAAATAAATGTTAGCAGAAGGTTAACACAATGGTTATTCAACCAACAAATCAAAGGATCACTAGCTAGGCTTCCATTGCCCTGTGCTGATGCACATTTTGAAGTATCACATAAAAAAATGATTGAAAAGCCAAATTTCAAATCAAAATACTTTTATTTACAATAAAGTTCTTATGCTCGCTAGTTAGTTTTGGTGGTTTAAAAAGGGTCAAGAGTAAATGCGAAGAATGAAAGTTTGAAACACATTTGCCAAATAAACAGATGTAGCAAACATTACACCCACATGAACCCATTATGCTTGCCTTGTTTACTGTTGGTTGCTAGGTTACCAATACTACAGTCAGCCACTCTAATAATTTAATGGAAACACACCTAGTTCACATTTGGGATTTTTTCATTTTTTTAAGCAAATTTTAAAATAATTTACTTCATGTCAGGATGAAAACCCAGCTAGTGTCATCAAAACATACAATCATAAAAGTCTCAAAGAACGAGCAAGCCTTGTTAAAGGGAATTCATTAATGCCCTGAGCTAGGCTCAAACAGTACACTTTTATCATTTCTATAAAGGCTCAGGCAGGTCGGCATGCGATCAGTGTACCTTCCTCCTGCCCTCTTCGTCTTCGTCTAGTCTGGCAGTTCCCACCTCATTCAAGATGGGGCTCTGCAGGGGTGACGGTGCCTGGCCTGGAAGACTGAGGGTGGACATCTGGAAGGAGGGTGACAGACACAAAGGACCCTTGTCGTTGAATGGAGAGAGTTGAGGACTGTCAATGGCAATGGAGTCTATGGGATGAAAAAAACAGGGAAATACTGTTAAGAAAACAAGCAATAATAATAATAATAATAATAGTTTATGTAATATTGCTTTATTTGTTTTACATTATTTAAAACTAACTAAAAAAGGGAAAAGGAAATTAAAATAAAAATGTTTCCCATTGCTTTTGCGATGACATCTGTTATCTGATAACATGTTTACTGATATGAGGACAACCTGTAACTCGCATCAGATCGCTAGAATAGTAAACAGCAACAATTCAACCATCCAGTCATTTCCCAATGGACAAAATCAATATTTTCCAACATGTTTTCTTTGCTTGTGAAGCAGTTTCAGTTAGATGTCACAAGAGAGAATAAAAAATTATACAAATGTCTGTTTTATGCTGAGGTTAAGATGTGACTAGTTAAACACCAAGCAACAAACAACAAGTTGCAAATTCATTAATAATAAAAAAAAAAAAAAATCAAACCTCATCTTTCATGCATCTCATTCATTAATTTTCTTGTCGGCCTAGTCCCTTTATTAATCCAGGGTCGCCACAGCAGAATGAACCGCCAACTTATCCAGCACGTTTTTACGCAGCGGAAGCCCTTCCCGCAGCAACCCATCTCAAGGAAACATCCACACACACACACACACACACACAGAGACACCCATACACTACGGGCAATTTAGCCTACCCAATTCACCTGTACCGCATGTCTTTGGACTGTGGGGGAAACCGGAGCACCCAGAGAAAACCCATGCGAATGTATGGAGAACATGCAAACTCCACAAAGAAATGCCAGCTGAACCGAGGTTCGACCCAGCTAACCAGTGACCCTCTTGCTGTGAGGCGACAACACTACCTACTGCGCCACTGCGTCACCCCTTCATGCATCTATAATGGGTCAATTCAGTAAATTTGGTATTCTCTCCTGAATCTGACAAACAAATAAAAAAAATAATAATCATAGTCCTAACAATCCTAAATAAATGTATAAATTCAAAAACAGATGCTTTTACTTTTGACAGCAAATCTGACAAAGCAGAAAAGCAAAATAAAGGATAAACCGGGTTGCTGTTCACACACATTCAGCCATTTGTTTGCAGAGCAATAAAATAGAAAAAAACATCCATTTCCTTCCCCACAAACTAATCATTAAGATAAGAAATCTAAAACAAAAGCAAAAGAGAGACTGTATTAAAGTGGGACAAAAAATGAGAAGGGGGAAATGGTTTCTTCCTCAAAGAGGAGCAGCTCACAGGGGAAAACAAGAATGTGGAGGCTGGGCATAAACAAGGAACTCCACACTGAAAAAGGTGGCTTTACGACCCGGAAATAATTCAAGCAGAGGATTATCAGCAATACTGCAGGGCTGGTGAGCCGGCAGTGGTTTACAGTTTAACTGGAGGGTCCCGGCGGGGATGACATTGGAGAAGAGGGAGGGAGTAAAGGGGGTCTGGAGCTGGAGTTTGGCAGTCGGCCTGAACAAACATAGAGGCTGCGCTTGACACTAGAACGAGACTGAGGAATGTAGCAGGAGAAGCTGATCTGGAACTCTAAAACAACAGAAGGACGCACGCTCCATTGTGTTTATTACCCCATTCAAGATTTTTCCTTAGAATAAAGACAAATTCGTTTGTAATCTAGCAACTCAAAATGACAGTATTTTACATGTACTTTTGAGCAAAGGGCATACTGCATTCTAAAAAAAATCTAATTAAAACATAAATGTAAATCTTTGATACAAAACACATGATTGTTTGATGTATTTTTCAACCTTTAGTGTGAAGGTATGACCTTTTAACCTATTTAGTAACTTATCTGTTAAAAGCTGGTGATGGAGATGACTAAAATCAATCTATTAAAAACACAAAACAGCATAAATTGATTAAAAAAACATGCAATAATATAAAAAGTGCTTGTCCACTGGCATCATTTAATGAATGTTCAAAATTATTGAAATAAAATTTTAATTAAAAAATTAAACTACAATAATTTAATTGAAATAAAAATTTTAATAAATGTAAATAAAACCCCATGTAAATATTGTGAAATAAAAACAAAACACTTAAATGAGCACTGCTAATGTTACAGATGTTAAAAATGATACAGTAATACTGGTATAAAACTATTTTAGTATATTGGCACTGAAAGGCTAAACAAATGTAGATAATTAAATTTTAATCATTTATTTGATTAAATGACTTATTTATTATTATTATTTTTTATGACTTGAGTAACTTTTCAAATGTTTTCATGTCAACCCAAAGGAGTATCATTTTCGAATTTTAAAGGCTTCTGATTCACAATGTCATGAAAGTCCGGAGCATTATTAAACTTTAGAAGTTAACTTTAACAATCTTGATTTATTATTTAATTCCAATATTAGCATATAGGTAGAAGGATTCATGATGATGGCATCTCCAGACCACCGTCATTAAGGTGCTACCTTTAGAGATCGCCTCACAAAGAAGTAATAATAAAAAGGTGGCTCAAGATGTTGTTTTCTGTGGCACTGATCCATGCCATTGAGAACAGCTCCGTAAATACAGAACTTATCAAAATAGCACTGCAAACCACAAACCTTGAAAAACCCATTAAGGTCCCATCCTCAAACAAGCATTCCAGAGCTTCAAAAAATATATAATAAAACATATTAGATTTCATTAAATCACACCATTATAGTTAAAGTAAGGTTATATATGAACACAGGGTATTTAAGGGGCTAATAACTGTTGTTATAAGTTATTAATCTTCAATTAAATATTTTTAAAAATGAGTAGGAAAAATAAAACTGAAATACCAGTTAACCAAAAGGGACTTTTGTCTTTATTTTCAAAGGGGAAAAATAAATGAAAAGCAAACACATACATGTAAGTACATTCTCTTTTTACATTAGTACATTATGGACCTTGTATTAGCATTCATTACTCTTAATTTCAGAATTAAATTAACAAAAAGAAAATGTGTGTAAGAAGAAAGCAAAGGCAAAGTACAGAGGGTTGAGGCAGATCTGTTTAGACTTTCTCTGGTCATCAGCTAGACATAAGTAAATCTTTTATATTTGAAAAAAATAAAAAAGTTAATTTTGTTAAATGCAGTATTGTGATTCAGTGTTATTTCAATTTAAAATAATTTAAACCATCATATGAAAACTTTGGAGTTTACAACTGAACTGAATGCAGATTTGCAAACACTGATCTAAATGCAAACTAAACTGCACATATAAAACCCAAATCAAAATGCATGTTGTGCGATGAAGTTTGTAAGTAATATCACAAACCATATCAATCCTAAAATGCAAAATAAAATTATTTTTTTTGATACATCTTTAATAGCAAAGTTTTACAATCCTACGTTGTATATATGTTTTTCCTATCGATAACATTTGTGCATCTTTAATATAATTAAAAAAACACCCTAAAATTGCACGTTTGTGCCAATATTTTAAGTGTACATGTAAACAAACCAGACCATATTATAAGCTTTATCCGATGAGGAACTAGGTTAATGATTTTGTTACCTACTAAGGACAGCATCTACCATTGTGTTTTTAAATCATATCTAAAGTGCTAGGGTGAGTGCTATAAAGGGTTAATAGGCTAAACTTATTAATATTCCAGATCCTTGATACAGAAAACGCTCCTCAGAGACACTGTGAAGTTAAAACACTGAAGGAATACAATGCGATTATAAAAATGCACAAACTAAAGAAGGCCGAAACGGTCACATAACTGGAACACCCTCATAATCTGACATACTAATGCATATGGATAATGCATATTGGAGTTAAATACTACAAAACCTTTTCATGAAAACAAAAATAAAGCAGCTTTATGTGCTATATGGAGAGTGAAGACTAAACTATATCAGTCCTCAAAGAAAAGTAATTATTGTGGGTGAAATAAGGGAAGATCACACATCATAATATGTGAACCATGAGCATTAAGGGTATCAGTGGGTGCAGATTTAAAGACTTTGAGTAGATTAAAACACTTGTGTGTCTTCAAGACATTTTTGTTCTTCATGTTAATAGAAACAGCATTCTTATTTTGACTAAATGAAATGTGTTTCATTTAAATCTATTTTAAACCAAGTACAAGTCTGTTAATGACACAAAAGTGCCCAATAAAATCAATAAACTGTTTAAAGTGTGCGTGCCCAAGTGCCATTCAAGGATGAAATAATGAATTCTTTGTTCAAGATCTGTCTGTATTATTATTATTTTCACTATTTTTTGGCACCATTTTCTGTTTTATATGTAATATGTGTGGGTGTTTAGGTATGGATTTTAGTGTGTATACAGTTGAAGTAAAACTTTTTAGCGCCCATTTGAATTTTTTTTTCTTTTTTAAATATTTCCCAAATTATGTTTGACAGAGAAAGCAAATTTTTACAGTATATCTGATAATTTTTTGTCTACTGAAGAAAGTGTTATTTGTTTTATTTCGGCTAGAATAAAAATAGTTTTTAATTTTTTTTTAACCACCATTTTAAGGAAAAAATTATTAGCTCCTTATTAATTATTAAGCTATATTTGTTTTTGATAGTCTACAGAACAACCCATCGTTATACAATAACTTGCCTTAATACCCTAAGCAGCCGAGTTAACTTAATTAACCTAGTTAAGCCTTTAAACCTCACTTACAGCTGTATAGAAGTGTCTTGAAAAATATCTAGTCAAGTATTATTTATTTTCATCATGGCAAAGATAAAGTAAATCAGTTATTAGAAATCAGTTATAAAAAAAAAAAAATCTCTCCGTTAAACAGAAATTGGGGGAAAAAATGAACAGGGCGGGCGAAAAATTCAGGGCATAATTCTAACTTCAACTGTGCACGCACGCACGCACGCACGCACGCACCCACACCCACACCCACACCCACACACACACACACACACACACACACACACACACACACACACACACACACACACACACACACACACACACACACAACCAGTTAAAAGTTTGGGATCAGTAGGATTTTTAAAGATAAGCTTCTCCTGCTCACCAAGGCTGCATTTATTTAATAAAAAATACAGTACAAATTGTAAAATAGTGAAATGTTATTGCACTATAAAATAACTTTTCAAAAGTAGTTTATCATTTAATTTAATCATTTATTCAAGACATTTTAAAAATATTTTTTCAGCTTCATCACTCCAGTCTTCAGATTTAAATGATCCTTCGGAAATCACTTTAATATAAATTTTTAATTTTGTTATTGTTATTATCATTATTAGTAATATCATTATTAATGGTAATGGTAATAAAAGTAATAATGACTGAAGTAATAACTTTATGTGAAACTACATACAATGAGAAAGCAGTTATTTAACATTTTAAAACATATTTGACAATTTAACTCTTTTTTTATTTTTATTTAATAAATACCAGCTTGATGAACAGAATAATAAAAAAAACATGAAAAAACAAAACAAAACCAGACTCCAAACTTTTGACCGGTACTGTATATATAAAAACAAATCTATATGCAGGAAAAACAAAACAACCTAATTTACTAAATTAATTGCTTCAAGTGATAAAAAATAAACTTTTACTCTATATATATCAGTTTATAAAGTAGAATTGGCAACACTTATTAATAGTAACGGACAATACAAAAGAGGAGGTCAAAGGTCATTGTGTCCATGATGGGCGATGGTGTGAAGAAAGCACTGTTAGATGGACGGCCAAATGGTGCCTTGCCCAGAGTTTAAGAGCAGCCCAGGCCTGCCCTCGCTTGTGGGAGTAGAGAGAGGCTCCAGTTATAATTAAACACCAATATTAAATGGGACGTGTTTTGTTTGCTCTCAAAATGACAATGAGAATGAATGGTCTCATGGTTAATACTACATGGCTGCTGTACATAAAAATGCTTCAGTTTTGAACAGTGTATTTGGCTAATGTATGTTTGAACCTCTACTAGACTTGGAGATGGAGATCCATTTTAATCAATAAATGAGACTGCCAAAGAAATGGAAAAAGACAGAAGTGCCTGAATCACACAGTGAAGCAAAGCAGAGACATATGGAAGGACAATAAATGGGATTTCAAGAAAGGGAAGAAGAAATAACATCAATATAAAGACCAAACTTCACCGACTGAGCTCCTAGAACTCAATGTACTCATGGCACTCAGACAGTGTTAGTCACTCCAGACCCCAGAAGAGAAACCAGAGGCATTCGTGTGGTCTGGATGTCAGACAAACACCCAACTGAACTGCACTGAGCTGATTTTGCCTATTAAGGCAATCTGTAAGGATATTTAGCAGGAGTGCCATCCATTTGAATGGATTAGGTGAGGCAATTAAAAAAAATTAAACCTTAATTAATCCAAATCATACCTTGAAAGAGACACCCAAAGGTAATAAGCACAGACAAAAGACTCAGGAATTAGCCTAAGTGCTCTGAAAGCGAATCAAAGTGCTCCAACACATAGTACTAATAGAATAAATCATTGCAAGAACATAGCCAGAAGAAGATTGACAAAAATGACAAACTAAAAAAATAAAAATACTTCACTGAATTAGAATACCTGAATCGCTGAATCATGCAGGCGAGGCTAACTTAAAAAAAGATTCACCGATTTAATATAAAAGGCACAAACAATAGCTTCACAAATTAAGACTTTTACTACATTCATAAAAAAAAAGAAATGTGCCAGAACTGGTCGTACGGTTACATAATATTATTGTAACAGGGACAATTTGTGATGATGGTTCCTCTTATGTGCATTCAACTATGCATGAGGTTAGTATTCATTCAAGCTCTGTATTACATTCACCATCTTAGCAGTGGTATTGACAGCACACAGTAATGCTAAACCACATACATTCTTTAACAAAAAAAGTTAAAAGCTACTACTTTTGGGTCACGTTTTTTAACCCGATACCCTAATTTAGCAAATGTGGTCAAAAGACGTTTTCTTACAAGAGATTAAGTGTTTACATGTATGCAGCAAATTTCATTCGGAGTAAAAAAAATATTATTTTGTGCCAGTAAACACAGCCAATTTGTGATTTTAAAAGCAAAGCGCAGCCAAAAAACATCCCGCATACACACAACAAGCAATCTGTGTCAGTGGATGTCTGTAAAAGTAGCATACTTTCCAATCGTAGTGGAATTGTGATCATTCCCAAAAGTTTACCAGCAGAGGGCAGAGTGGAGCAAACATTTGTGAAGTAAAAAAAAAAAAAAAAAGGCTCAAATTGGCTCTTGACAGGAATGGCCATTTTTTCCACTGCCAATTTAAAACTCCAGCCCTGAGTAAAGTTGCTCACTACTGAAAAAGACTTTTATTTTGATGTACCTTCATACATAGACGTGTCAGTTTTCCTTGTTTGTATTCATTGAATGAATTTTCCCTCTTTGGACAGTTGAATTCAGTGGTTGAATGCAAATTAATCTTGAAAGCACTTTAGGACGCAATAACCTCAAAAGATGTCTAGTAATAATTATACAAAAGAAATATTGCATAGCATACAAGTATATTAAATCAAATCTTTGCAAAGCTTATACTGTATTGATTTCCTTTTGATTACATGTCAATATTCAAAAATATTAACTTACTAATAGCTGAATTATTTAATTTTTACAGACTAATACTTCATTAAAATGTTTACTTTGTTTGAACTAAAATTAAACGTTCACTTTGAGCTGAATGGATCTTTCCCTGACCCAGATTGTTTCTCTACATGAAAATGTTTTTATTTGTGCGGTAGAAATGTAATGCATACAGCCAGTCTCATCTCTCCTTTATCCTGATGGATGAACAGCGTAATGCAAAAACACTTTTTAAGCTTAAAATACATTTAAAAATATATAGTTTTATATGAAAAAAGTTGCAGAAATTCACAATTTTATGTGACGAAGGCATTCACTTTCACCCTTTACAGGGCCACAGCGCCACTTTATCTTGCAGCCATCTATCCAATGGTGATTAAACATCAAATAAAAACAAAAAAGGACTATATAATCTGGAAAAAAATTAAATAAATCGCTCTACCCTACAGAATACGAAAAATTAAAAAAGAAAAGAATGAATAAACACCATAGAGAAAGGGATAGAAAGTACACTGAAAAGGCCATTTAAGGAAAAAAGTGGTAGATTGAAGCACCAACAGGAAGTGCTGAAACTATAAGCACTAATTACAGTGCTGAGGATAATTGAGTACACCCCATTTTCAAAATATCAATATTTTTAACTAAATGTTTCCTTTTTTTTGCTTCTCTTGTTTTTTCCTGATTTTTAAATTTGTATTTAATATTTTTCTATAACATAAATTTGGGTGTACTAGTTTTTGGACCGTTATCGTAAGATATTTTTAAATAAGCTTCAGACTTGGCTTCAGTACTGACTAATCTAATGTATATGCGCAAATATAATGTTGTATATCTTCCTATTAAAAATATGAAGTTAAAAGATAGATTTGTGAGGGGTGTACTTATATATGCTGAGCACTGTATATTAGGATGAGCTGGTGAATTAAGTGCTTGGTCATTTTATGGATTTAAAACTCATGTCTAAAAAAACAACAACAAAAAAAAAACAACAACTGATGTTTAAATGCGGTTGTGCTACATTTTGAGATGAGCTGAGCCTTGTTGGGACTCCCCAATACCTAGAGCCCTGAGATTTTGGCATTCTAACAGGAAGCTGTCTAAATCTGCCCCACTCACTAATGGGTTGCTAAAGAAGAGGTTTTGGTCTGTAGCCAGACCTCCATCCGAACCCCAGTCAGAGTCGGAATCGGAGCTGCCGTCAGCAGAGCCCTCTGTGGTTGTGGGAGGGTAACTTAACTGCTCCAGCTGCTCCACCAGATCATTGAACTGCATGGCTGAGCTATCTTCAGAACGCACCGAATATGCAGGGAAGTTGACCATCGAGCTGGCCTCGGAGAGGTTTTCCGAACCAGGAAGACGCAAGGAGGAAGAGGAGTCTGGTCCTCCAAAGCCGAGCGAAAGCGAGTCACCGACAGAACCAAGTGGAAGGTTATCTAGAGAGCTACACTCGGAGCGGTTATTAACTAGAGAGCTGGTCTCTGATCGGCCGAAGGCACTTTCTGAAAATCTGTTAGCATTGCCATTAAGGTCTTCAAGACCGAGAGCAAACGTACCGGACTGTACAGGGATTCTCTCACCGTATTCAAATCTCTCAGGACTCTCTTCCTCAAACCCATAACAGTAGGCCTCAGCACCACCAGCATAAAAAGAGATTTCAGTGGGATCGTCATCGATGTACTCTTCGCTAACATGCAGCTGTGTGCAGGGCATCGGGATCTGATAGGAAGGCTGTCGAACACGCATTAATTCAGCCTCGAACGCTTCAGGAGTGAGGAAACCCTTCTGCACCCCGCCAATCACGCCACCCACCCCTACTTGCTCGCTATCCTCATTGCCATTTTGGGAGGGTCGTACACTAGAGGAACTACTCTCTACACACACAAACGAGGGGCTGCAGTTTCCTGCTGCCGGGATATGAGTGGCACCTGGGAAGGCGTAGGTGGATTGGGAGTTGGTCTTGATGGGGTCCTGCTTCATTGGGCTGGGGGCTCTGAGAGGCTGGTGCTGCGTCTGATGAAGATGCAAAAGCTGGTTTGGGGTCTCGGCCCTCATAGAAACGCTGGGGGCATGCAGAGACTGGAAGGAGGCGGTGATGGAGGAAGGAGGTATGTGAGTCCTCAGGCTGTCGTTAAAAGACAGATTCTGAAACGAATGGGAAAAGTAAATAAAGAGGATGAAAAGGTCAGTTATTATTGTTATTATTGGTATTAGTTGGGTTGGATCTTAAACTCTGCTGACCTGTTTTGGCACATCAGAAGCCAAGGAACGCGTCGACATGCGAATCTTACTGTTTCTCCTGTAAAAATAGAATAATCAATACTAAGATGCACAACATGCAGAGAAATGCACCATCAAAATAAGAGGCTTAAAAAGGTCAATTATAGAGAATTAAACTAGTTTCTTGTGAGACTTCAAAAGTTTTACCTCTGGTAAGGAGTTCTTCTCAACCCGCTGTCCCTCACATACTCAACAAGCTGTTTCTGTGTCCTCCCACTGTTAAATATAAATTGAAATATAAGGTTTTATGACAAATCAAGTCAAACAGATCTAGCACAAATACATAGAGGTGGAAGGTTAAAAACAACAAAACAACAGCCTTTATTAATCAAATGTGTCATGGTTTATAACATTTGATTTAAGGTTCTTTCACTCTTGGTTCAATTGCCTGGACCGAACCCAAGTTCGATTGTCCCCCCTTGCCACCTTCTCAATTGGTTTGTGTTCACACTGTCTTTATTCCTTCTGGTATGTTTGCGTCATCAAGCTGCTGTTGTGTGTACAGCTGTTGCTAGATGATGGCCACGAAAGAAAATCGCAAAAATGGAAAGACGTCTGCACATCGCGGTCATTCTGCTTTAACCTTTAATCTTTTGGTTTTGGACATACATAAAGCGACTCGAGCTCATCTGCCGCAGAACTTTAATAAATTAATTCAGAACAGCACGTGATGTCCGCAGAAGCTGTTTTTGAGGAGACAAGCAGATGTTATCACTTTGCTTGCCCTGGCTCAGTCCTGCAAGTCACCAAGGTACAGCACATGATACACACACACACAAACATGAATGAATGACTGAATGAATGAATGAATGTTATGAAAACGATAGTTTGTTGTACAGTTGGCTGTTCACTTCAGTTATTTTGTACGATTGCATTCATACCAGAAGTGATCCGGACCAGAGTTCACGCGAACTGTACCCCAGACCACCTCCTTCAGGCGGACTCTGGTATGGTTCACGGGTGCGAGTTTAGAAGACCACGTTCACACTAGCTAAACTTACCGAACTTTGAAATCAAACTAAAAACTATTTAAAATCTGCATTCTGAGGGTTCAAAAATACTCAAAAAATCATGTTTGATGCTACTACAAACATATAGAGCTTTCAGATATTTACAGTTGGAAATTATCAGCATGTATTCATGAAACATAATCTTCACTTAACATTGTAATTTGCTTTTTGCATAAAAGTAAAATTCGCTAATTTGATCCCTTTAAATGTATTTTGGCTATTGTGATTGCCGGTACAATATATAACTGGTTTTGTGATTCAGGGTCACATACTGTGTACATATTGTAAATTCAGCAGAAATAATCTATTTTAAGAGCACATTACTCAATTTACAATGAACCATTATACATAACTAAAAAACTTATTTTGTGACCAAACCTGCAGTACCTGTTTGGTAAGCAACTCTAGGAAAATGTGAATGATTAATTGAAATCAGCTCATATGAATCTGATCATACTTTCCGGACTGTATGCTTCTTTTTGCTTACAACCCTTGTTTTTGCTTTTAATTACAAAAACAATATGACTAGAATATGATGCATGATATAACATTTTCATTTTAATTCTGCCACACCATTTTTAAATCCGCCCGAGTCTAAATATTCACAAAATAGCACCTGTATCTGAAGGAGGATCCTCTGCTGAAGAAAATGGCTTTGGATTTGGGCTGGGGCTGGTCTAGTAGCCGAAAAAACGAATGATGCTCCACACAGTTCTTCCAGAAGATCTTACATTGATCTCGACTGCCCATTAGAAATTCCAGTGTATCCTGATGAGGACCCTGAGGAACGAAAGGCTGATCAGTCACTGAGAAAAAGACTGATCTTAAGAACTTCCATCTCGGATGAAAGGCAACATGAGGAAACATATGGTCCTGATTGTCAGCACCCAATGTAAGTGATCCAGACAGAATAACAAACGTCACTTGGAATAAATTTAAAATGTTTACATTGGGTAACGGATGGCCCCATCACTCCAAGCTCCAAAGCTTGAAAACATTACTTCTACATTTTATTATGTGTCAAATCTCTATTAAATCTGTACATCCCAAGAGTCCTCAGACTGATTTCACTATGCTGTACTATATTACCCCAAATATGTGTGTTTTGGTAGAGGTTGAGATTGACGTCATAAGTAAGATTTCTCTAGGATCAAACTGCATCTAAGTTGTAATATTGACTATACTGTCTTTTTTGAGGTATGTAAAAGTTTGTACAAGTTCATATAATGATATTAGATAACAATATGTTGGTGCTGGGCCAAAATTAAATCACATGCAAAAAAAACTTTGTTTTGACAGAATATATGTGTCTACTGTATATTTATTACACATTATTATGCATATGAAACAATATATTTGAAAAACGTTTATTCATATTTTGATATAAAATATACATGTATATGATACAAAATATATATCAATTTATAAATCTATGTAACAAAATTGTTTTGCATAGTTTTATTTCTATAGAATCCATAACAAACATAACACACACATAACGGGCCCTATCATACACCCGGCGCAATAAGGCCCAAGGTGTGTTTGATGTGATTTGTTGCTATTTTTGGGCCAGCGCAACCCAATTTTCACGTTTTGCACCACATGGTTTAAATAGCAAATCCATTTTCTCCATTTCGTGGACTCATGGGTCTTCAGGTCTAGGAGGTGTGTTAAGGCACATTGTTGGTGTGTTTCTATTTTGAGAAACTGAAATAGACTGCACCACTGACCAACTGAAAGCTGATCTAAAGTCCTGCACAGAGCACGTTAGTCTGAACGCTATACTTAGAGAACATCAATTAACAAATATCTTTATACATGAAAAAAAAAAATTAAAGGAATAAAATGTTACAAAAATGACTATATAGTACAATATCCACATGCCTTCTTCATGTCGGGGGGCTTTTTTCAGTTTATTCATGACAATTTACATTCATATAATATTATTATTAGCAGTATTATTTATTGTATACACATTTATATTTGTAATAAAACAAATTATAAATTATAAAAACAAGTTTAGATTTGTCCATCTGTCGGGTTTTGAAGACGTATGCATCACCATATGGAGCACAAGAATAGGACTCGTCTTTGGATGTAACTCAGTTTTCTGACCACACTTTTTACAAATTTACAAATTTTTGCACTTGACAAACTAAATTAAATATGTAGGCTAATGGATGTCGTCAGTGGACTGCGTACAACACCTCTTACTTATCCACAAAAGTAAAGGAGTAAAGTAAAGAGTAAAATTAAAGTAAAGAGGATGAATGGAGGAGGCTCGTTCTTTATCCTGGCACAGATGGTCTCTGTTCAAACATTTTCTCACTTGTGAAGCGTTCAGTTTTTCCACCTACAAAGTCTGCCATGTAAATAGCAAATGTGCCATGATGCGTCGCAACTTATTCTTAAAGGGAAGGGGAGATGACTATATTTTTCAGTCCTTAAAATAGCAAAAGTGGATTTGAAGACACCCTAAATGCTATTGCGTCATGCGCTTTAGACTTTGCGTCTAGATCATTAAAATAGAGCCCCTTATGTCAAAAAAACTTTTACTTGATATATACTTATATATATATACTTATATATATACTTATATATACTTATATATATATATATATATATACTTATATATACTTATATATATATATATACTTTAAATTGCATACTCACATGAACTTCTGGGTGCAGTTTAATTAGAAACCTTTTCCTTTTGAAGCTCAGCTTCCTAATCTTGGACCAGTTAAAGGTGTTGATTTTGGTGTGGCCCTGAAAAAAATGGGAGATGGATAAATGTAAACACATCTCTTACTGCATTACAGTATCTCTAGTTAAAGGGATAGTTCATTCATTTGTACAAATGTATTGCCTTCCATAATATTTTTATTTTTTCAACTGTGGAAGTCAATGGTTACAGCTATCTTCAAAATAAGTTTGTGTTTCAAGCAGTGTGTGTGTTTAGCAGAAGAAATAAACTCAAAAAGATCTGAAACTTGTAAAGTGTGTGTAAATGATGACAGCTTTTATTTTTAGATGAACTATCCCTTGATGTATTAATAACATATTTTTTAGATCTCTACGACAGTAAAATTGCATGTACCTGAAAGACCTGCAGGCCCATGTGTGCTACAGCCAGGTTGATCTTGGTTCCTTCTCGGTCAGCGGCAGGATGAAAGCGGACCCCAAACATTTCCAGTTTGCGAGCGATCTCCAGAACCTGGAAATCTGACTCTGCTGGGGTCTGACCACTACAGGCAAAAGCGCAAGAAAAACAATATATTAAACAAGTGAACCATATTACCACAGCAAAAAGAAATGAAAGGAAATTATGGAGTGGCAAAACATATTTAGCAGCCTAAAATAACATTCTACAGCAGACATGTCCAACTTTTACCATGTTTTAAAAGACAAAGCGTTTCATGTAATTTTGTTATAATGGCTTTCATTAAAGAATATATTATTCATTCAAAAGTTTGGGGTCGGTAAGACTTAATGATGTTTGACACACTACAATAAAAAACATCATTGCAATTAATAAAAAAGTGCATGCTGATATATAACAATAGCATGTACTTATATGCAACATATCTCACAGAATCTGTATTCTTTCTAGGTAAAAAGTGGGGTCTTGGAAAACATATTTCAGTAATGCTGTGAAGTGTTCTGGCTAATCATGGGCATATGTTGGAGCAGTGCCAGATCATCAGCGTACTCTAATTTTGCTCATCCTTTAAGCCGTTCAATCTGCTTAAGCCCCTCCCCTTCCCTTGTGGCCGTATGGCTAATAAAGAGCCTTGAGCCACTGGATTACAAACACAGCCACAGACATGGCCGAGCAGCAATACTCCTCTCACACCCAAAGCCTCAGATTAAACACACCGGAACTGCATCATTACGAGACAGAGGCACAAGGCTGATACGACAAGCCTGTCTCTTCAATTGTTCTGCTAGAGGGTTTGATTTTCAGTTGGTAAAAAAAATAATAATACGATATTACATTTTTCTAAATATTTTTTTGGAGGTCTTCAACAAACCAAGCCATTCTCAAAATTTAGACAAATAATAAAATAAATGTATCTCATAATACACTGAACACTACATCTTTGCCTATTGTGAAGAGTGTCTGAAATGGTTTGTTTATGGATCTAATTAATTACATGTCTAAGTCTATTGTGATTGGTCTACCTCTTAACACAGGTTTTCAGGGAGCAGATACACATACCTATATTTGAATTTCAGCTTCAAAAGCTTCCTTATTTTTTGTATAGACAGATTTGAACATAAACACCATGTCCTAACTACACATGATGTGATTGTGTCATAATAAGGTATCTTTTTCATGTTAAAAGCAGTTTGTCTGTCTGCAACAGCAACAGTTTTATTTTAGAAACAGTTTCTATTTCTGCAATGTCACAGAATAAACATCAGCACAAACTACTATGACAAGGATTACCTCAGGTACTGATTATGTGCTTTAGTCAGGGTTAAATTACATTAATGTGAAAACAATTTTACGTGAAATTTATTGCCATACTTAAAGTGGAAGCAGATAGTTCACATCAGATTTAAAAAATTAATCAGCTAGCAAGCATATTTTAAAAATGAACTGTGACTCGGTACAAACCAGCAAATATCAGTCACTTAGCATAAACTTCAGATTATAAACCTTACAAATTTGTTAACGTGGCAGTGAAGCAGTTAGTCAAGTTTACATTATTTTGTAAACTGATTTCTAATATAATGAAATATATGAAACAACCTTGATTAATGAAACCATTTTGCAGGAAACTGCATGTTTTATGCATAGTTTTTAGAGCAAGGGTGCTGCCATATTGGAATATCACTTTGTCTGACTTTAGGGGGTTGGTTCTGTTCCCTCAGCTGAACAGATACAGTGGAAGTAATGGACTGAACACATAGACTCCAAAGCCTAATTTAACCCAATGCCTAAAGTTGTGGGTTTAAAGCCTGGTTTATACTTCTGCGTCAAGTGACCGGCGTGACCCACGGTGCATGCAACGTGCGTAGCTGCACATTTATACTTCTGCGCGCTGTCTCTGTTGGTCTGAATTAACACTTCCGAAACGCTAGTGGGCAGTGAGGTGTTAATGTTCCTCAGTGTCAAGTTTCTTCTCTGCTATTTTGCTTTTCCTGAACACTTCCTGGATGTACAAGTGGCTCAAACTTGCTCATTTTGAGGCAGGAACTGGCGGACGAGCAACAACTTTAACTATGAGGTAAACACAAAACAAAACTTTCCATCAGGAGCTCCTTCACGGGACTCCACTCTTGTAAACAATCGCTCCATTGGACTCGCGTCCAGCTCGCGCCATTCGCGCAGCTCTCGGTCCCGCCCAGACTTGTCAGCGCTACCAAGCCGACCAATCACAGAGAGGTGCACGTCAGCGACGCCGACGGACACGGGGAAGGGCTATGCGTCAGCGCCGTAGCATACGCCGGCGTTTGACGCAGAAGTATAAATCAGCCTTAAAGCTGGTGCAAATACATGCATCATTTGTGTGTATTTATTCTATTTTTATTTTTATTATTTCCCTTTTAATTACCGAGTGTTTGATGCGCTTTGGTAACTCTCTGTATTAAGCTGCCTGACTTGTTTTCAATGAGGTCCGGTGCCAATGTAAAGGGGGTTGGTACTTTTCACTTCCGTCACTTTCCACCACTACAGCTGCTCACTTCTTTTCATGCTCAAAACAAACTAAGATCGACGTTCTAATCACACAGCAGTTTTTCTACGTCCTTCATACATCTTGGGAGATTGAGTTGATCGAATTGTAAAGGCAATATGTCTTGTCATGTACTTTAGACATTGCAAAATTTGAATGTGAATCCTCTCGTCAGGCAGAGCTACACAAGCATGAGAAAGTGGACCAAAGCACATCAAACGAAAGGTAAAAATACGTAAACGTAAAAAACTTTTTGCATATATTCGTCGTGCTGCATATTTTTACAACTTTCATGCAAATTTATAACAAAACAAAGGCTATAACATCACTGCCTCCTTTTATTTTCATTAAAAATATGAAACATACCCTCACATACCATCAGTCAATATACAGAATGTACGTGATTACATTAATTATTAACTTATCTTTGCACTCAGCCAAAATACGTTACCTGAGAACAAGTAATCGATTCAAAAGACCAAAGTCGGGGAATATGTTGTTAGAAATGAACAACAAGCCAAATAGCTTGTTCCTGGAATCTTGTCAAGTCACTTGTAGTTAAGACACAGTGTAAAAGCAGCTGTGTTTCCTCTGTCAAGCCTGTTAGTACGTGCCCAGTCCAGTCGTGTTTAGGGCCTAATTGGCCTTCAATTCAATTCCCCCTTTATGGGACCAATGGGCAGGAGTTTTTGGCCCGCTGATTACCATGGGCCAAAGCAGGCCAGTTAGGTCTTGACAAGGGGTCATTTATGGCAGGAGATAAGCTCGAAAGACACTTTACAAATCTGTAAAACAGCTATTTTAAATCTCAAACAGCAATTTGAATAATATTATACAATGGATAATAATGGAAAATAAGGGCACTTAAAAATTTACTGAAGAAAACGCAGGTGCTAGATGAATTGTTCTATTGCTAGTTTGCATGAAATTCATTCTCTATAATTTCTGAAGATATTCATACCCATAGATAATCTATATAACCTTATATGTAAATTTCCAGAGGGGTTTTAGCCTTTCAAAAAGTATTCCAGAGCTATTTAAATGTAACAAAATATGCCCAACGCTTAACAGGAGTAAAAGTTTAATGTGTTGCTTCACTATTCCAATTCTAGTAATTCTTTACTTAACACAAAGACTGTCCATGCAGAGCTTGTAGACAGATCATCCATCCTATATTAATGTCCAATAGTCTCTGTGAGGTCTTATAACAACATCTTTCCAAAGTTCAATCATAGAGAGAAACTGCAGTCCACCTTTAACTACCTCTAAATCCCTTAAACTGCCACACACAACAGTCACTTACACACTATTAGATCTCCTCTCACCAAATAAACTCAGCACCAAATGGAAACAGACTGTCATTCAAGATATCTAAGGGAGTCTGTATTTAAAGTTCAGTTAGATGTTCCGCTTGAAAAAAAAAGATGTTTCTCATTCCGCACAAATGCTTCCAAATAAACTGGACATGACAAAGATAAACGTATTTTTGTGCCATAAATTCTCTGAGCTGATTCCCTGTGGTTAGCTCGGTAAATTTTACAAATGCAAAGCCTGACCGAGTCTGTGATAAATTTAAGAGAACAATGCACAAGCCTAGAGAATCGGGCCAAAACATCAAATGTCTTACGTGTGTCTACGGTGGAGCTCCATGATCTTTTCTTGCACATGTTCCTGACACGGCAGCAATTTATTCATCTTAAGAAACTCTCTGTCTGCCAAGTCATCATAGTCACCGATCTCAGCTGTTTGAGGAAGAAGAAAAACCAAAAAAAAAAAAGACCAAAATATAATTTCAATTATATACACATGTAAACACTCAAACATATATGGACACATGTATACATGGACACATGTCTAATAAATAATATTTTAGTATAGATATTTACACAAAACATTACTATATTAATATTTAACTGTATTTTCTAATCAAATAAATGAACCCTTGGTGACCAAAAGAACACTCCAAATCCTACGTACCCCAAACAGAGAACAAATCTTTACAATTGGGCAGTATACATACAATATTCTTGCAATATAAAAAAGGTTAAATCACCTAATGCTTATTGCTCCATTTGTAAAGTCACTTAATGTATGAATTCCATTGTAATGCAATTAAAAACTTATTATTAGATCGGGAAAGAAATAAGCCAATGAAAGCAGAGACAATACACAATAACTAACTGTTACACCAACTGATCTCAAATGACATACATTGCACCAAATGAGAGGCAAGCAGGGCAGCAGTGTTTTCTGTACAGCTCAGTCGGCCATCTAATAGATCCCTCTTTATCTGCAGAGAAAACAAGTACCTGGAGAAAAAGCATATCATTAGAGGATTAGAACAGTTCTGTTCAAAACATGGTGCTGTTGTGCTTTGCATAATATTAAAATTGTCCAAGCTTGAATGTCCTTTTCACAAATTTAAAAGCCATAAGGAGATCAATGTTGGATAATTTACCTAAGAATTTGAAAATAACCGAAAAGAGAGCATGCAGTCTAACACCTATTATTTGAAGAGGTCATTTTGTAGACAAAGCTCTTGAAATGAACATTTTCCAGGCATGTTTGTTTTAATTAAGAGGTACAGCTTGGTGGCTGCCAGCTAACAAGCGGGAAATAAATAAAATGGCACTGAAAAACAGCCTAACCGTAGAAAAAGCTTGTAAAACATGATACGGTAAACAATCGTTTCCTTTTGATACATGGATGCTAACATTTACTGTGAAAAAAAAGTCTTTCACATTTTTATGACTTGAACACAAAATATATAATGCTGACTGACTTTCAATATCTGGCATAGATCTTTTAAAATTCCATGATATTCCAGAAAATCAATGACTCGTGTGAACCCTGCATTTCTTCCTCCACATTTAGCAATGTCAGTACAATATTGTTAGATGCAAGGTTTGAGAGTGCACATCATCATTACCATAGTTGCAATCAACAAGCTTATATATGTATTAGATAAAATCTAAATGTACCCAACGGGAAAATAACCAGCATAGTTTTATGTCAGACACAATATTTTGCACATACCTTTAGTATTTTTTTTAACCTGGAAAGTACACTTGTAAGTACACTTAGGCTATACAGAATAATTGAGGGCCTTCACCTCAGTGACTGAAACCACTTGCAGTTTTCTGCTTGCCTTATTTTTTAAATCCCTTTTAAAACCACCCTAAGGCTGATGTTGAGGACAGCGAGAGGATAATTGAGAAAAAACAGAGGCATTGAACAGGGGAACAAAATCCCTATCATAAAACAGGGGAACAAAGATGAGAACCAAAATAAATGATGAAGTGATTTAAAGAGTTTGAAAAGTCATGATAATATAAAGCGCTTGTTATTGCACTTTTTTGTTGTTGTCGATACAAGCAATTGGTGCCAAATTGTCACAAACTCGAAAATAAAGGTAATTAAATAGCACACATCATTTATAAGCTATTTATTACACAGCTGTCTGGAATACTCGATTGTGATTGGTCAGTCTGGACAATCAAAGATTTGTTATTCCCAAATAACAACCGCTAAATAACACAGGCTCATTCGGGAACTTCAAATCACCTTGACCATTATTGAATACATTAATACAGTTCCTGTACATCTATGCATATTCATATATCTGCTTGTCTAGCTCGCCATATTTTTTGACAGTTTTTGACCGTTTGGTACAATTTTGTGAATGAAGAATACAGAGGTTTGTATATTTTTAATTCAAATGAGCATTTTTGACAGTTTGGCACCATCTTGTTACTAAATACTGCGCAGGTTATTGTACGTTTCATCAGCTTCACTCGGACGGTTTCGTTTCGGTCAGCTTTGTGTTTAATAAACAATTATTAAGTTATTGAGATTCAGAATATATTTTGTGTAAAATTTTTATGTTTTGTGGCAAGTAGTCCTGAAATAAGCAGAATAAAATACATCCAGGATGGTTGTTTTTACAGAATAAAGCTCTTCAGATTTACAACAAAATTGTAATTTATTCTGTGAAAACAACCTTATTTTTCTACATTAATCGTCGGTTAAGTCAATTTATGATGAACTTGTCATCACAATCATTACAATATTAAGCAAAGATCATGTTCCAGCAAAACACTTTTCCAAAAAATAAAACTATTTTTTTTCCTAGGCTCCAATATTTAGATTTATTTTAAACCCTTATAGAGATTTCAAAATAGTTGAATCTCAGCCAAATACATTCCTACCTGAACAAACCATACAGCATTTGAAAGCATATTTATTTTAATTAATTATAAAAATTTACCTTTATGGTTTATGCTTAATAGTAACATAACATTATGTGCTACACTCAAAATATTACACAAACGGTAAACACTGGCACCAGAAATATGCAAATAGGTATGTTAACCCAATGTTTAGGAATGAATTGTGTAAAATGGCAGCTAATGAACAGCCGAGATTAATAGTTAACTCCAGGTAAACTATCAGTAATATGAAATGTAAGGCAAGATTACCCTGGATTATGTTTAGAAGGACCAAGAGTTTAACTATTTTAAATATGAAGTCAGGTGTAGATGGCAATTTCTGAGCATCTTACCGAGTAAACTCCTCCTGCAGCTGACCAGGATCTGGAGGAAAAAACTTTACTGACAGCCGAAAGAGTGTGTTCATTGGCCCTGTGGATGATAAGAATAAAAAATATGTATTCAAACACCCACCTAACCTGTTACTTGAGAAAACGTAGACGCCATTAACTTTTTTAAAAACCAGCCATTAAATTGTATATATATCATTTCAGCTTAAAAAAGGCAGGAAAAATAGGTGAAATGTATATTTAACCATCATTAAATTATTGGTAACACTTTACAATAAGGTCGAATTAGTAAGTGCTAATTAATGCATTTACTAACATAAACAAACAATGAGCAATATATTTATTACAGTATTTGTTCATGTCAGATAACGCTAATTAACGTAAATACAGTTGTTCATTGTTAGTTCATTAACTCATGGTTCATTAATGTTAACAAGCATGAATTTGGATGTTAATAATACAATAGTAAAGGTTGAATTATAATTGATAAATGCTGTACAAGTATTGTTCATACTTAGTCCATGTTAATAAATACATTAATGAACCTTAAAGTAAAGTGATCAAATTATTAGCATTTAATAATAATATTTTATTAATATTGATTATTGATAATATATGTATTATTGTATGTAATAATAAATATAATAATAACAACAACAACAACATCATCAAAAACAACAACAACAACAACAACAACAACAACAACAACATCAATAATAATAATAATAATAATAATAATAATAACTATTATTATTATTATTATTATTATTATTATTATATTTATTATTATATTATTAAATAATATTTTATAACATTATTTTAATTGATATTATTACAACAACTATTGTTTTTATTATTATTATTATTATTATTATATTACTATTATTATATTACTATATTTACAAATATTGTTACACAGAAACATACACAATTGTTAATAATTAAAATATTAACCTTCATTACATATAAATGAAATTATGTTTTTTTTAATATTAGTTTATTTACTAAACAAATATAAACACACAATAGTCAGATGTATTTTATCAACTAGTGTAAATCTAATAATGGTAAAAGAAAATAAAAAATATGGAAAAAATATTTTGCCCAGTTACTACATTCTAACGCAGGGATTCTTAACCGGCGTGCCGCGAGGTTAAAATTAACTCTCAATATTATACTATAATTTTTTAATTGCATATGCTATATTAAAATGATCAAAGTAATGCACTTTCTACTGTTCTCTGGTTAATTACTTCAAACTTGGCACAAAAACAGCCTCACCATAGCATCTGCAACTAGTACACATCTGTTCATTCACAAACTATGTGAAGTCTCTCTTTGTGTATTTTTGTGTTAACTATTTAATATATCCGCATAGTTGTCCAAATTAATGTCCTGTGAGTGTTTTATAACAGACGCGCACTCATACAGGAGAATCTAGCAAGACTCAAGGGTGTTTCTGCCATAGAATGTAAAATAAACTTGCATATGAGCTTCAGACAAGCTCTGGCGGAGCTGTTCACTGTTCCTGTCAGTGATCTCCTAATAATATCCAGCTGCAAACTCAACTGTCATCAGATCGATGCATTTCAACAGATATAAGGTGTTTTACTGTATTTTAGATTTGTTTGTATACTTTGAATAGAAAATATTTAATAATAGCCTAGCTATTCAGTCAGTCCAGTTTAAAGCAGAAGCTGGTTCTTTGCAATCTCCTTGTTGACCTGTGGATCTCTTTGAATCCATGTATGTTTTTACAAAATAAACAAAATTATATATAATATAGTTTTAGTTAAATATATAATTAAATTTAAATAGAATTATATATTTTTTATAAAATGCTGATAATATTAATTTGTTATAATAATATAATATAATATAATAATTAATAATATAATATAATGTAATATAATATAATATAATATAATAATTAATAATATAATATAATATAATATAATATAATATAATATAATATAATATAATATAATATAATATAATATAATATAATATAATATAATATAATATAATATAGGCAGCATCGTGGCGCAGTGGGTAGCGCTGTCGCCTCACACCAAGAAGGTCGCTGTTCGAGCCTCGGCTGGGTCAGTTGGCATTTCTGTGTGGAGTTTGCATGTTCTCCTAATGTTTACTTGTGTTTCTGCTGGGTTCTCTGGTTTCCCGCACAGTCCAAAAACATGCGCTTTAGATGAATTGGGTAAGCTAAATTTTCCATAGTGTATGAGTGTGTATGGGTGTTTCCCAGAGATGTGTTGCAGCTGGAAGAGCATCCGCTGCGTAAAACACATGCTGCATAGGTTGGTGGTTCATTCCGCTGTGGTAACCTCTGATTAATAAGGGACTAAGCAGAAAAGTAAATGAATGAATGAATAATATAGTATATTACCTGTTAATAAATAAAGGTTTAAATGACTATTTCATACAAAAATTTTAGAGAAAATGTCAGACAAGTGGGCCTTCAAAAATTGATTGGAGAAAGAAGTGGGCCCTGCAGTGAAAAAGGTTGAGAACTCCTGTTCTAACGAATGCCCAACCAGGAAATCCTATACTTTAATATCCTTTTTTTTCTATTCACAGAAATAGAATTCGAAAATATAAAAATATACATTTCATATTATATTTGGTATAAAATGAGTTGCTGAGAAACATTAAAAACACTTATGAGCTGCCCATCTCAAATCTCATAGCTGGGCATTAGATTTTAAATATATTTAAATAATAACTACACCAAAACATAGTGTTCCCACAAATTGTTAAAACTAATAAAATAAATAAATAAATATAATAACTGGACAAATGTAGGGCAAGTTATTGGCAAGTGTTCATTCTAGGCCACAAAGCAGAAAGCGTACTTACGTCTCACTTGCTTCACTATGAGCTTGGAGGGATCCAGCCAAACCTGTCGACACAAAACAATCCAGAACAATAAGCCTTGCATTTTAGCTTTTAACCACCTTATAAACTCGAAGCAATAAATAATACAAATAATCTCTCATTCTTTCAAACAACATCTGTTTCTGCTCTTTGAAGCGAGCGCTAAAACTAAAGAACAGCATGCACACAGACACCACAGAAGAGATCTCAAAACGGTGACAACACCAAAAGCATATTTTCAGCATATTTGGAAAGTTACTAAATCGGCTGCTATTCAAATGCCCTGAGATATTTCAATTTAAGACTCTGTGCCTGTTCTTGGGGTTTTGCATAGATGTGAATGATGGGTTTTAATTGTGTGTCTGTCGAGCTCCTCCCAGCACATCTGGAGCTGATTGTGGCAAGAATGCACCTTTTCTCACTCCACCTCCGGCGCCTTTTACTCCGCTGACCTCTCATCTCTTACGAATCATCACAACAACCCTACACACACACACATATATATTCCACACCTGATTCAACTCTTTCCAAAAAAAAAAAAAAAAAAGCTGGATTGGCAAACTCAAAAACAGATGGCCAGCAGACTGTCTGCAGCGTTTCTCTAAAATTACTTATAAAAAGTTTGTTGACAAAGGTATTTTTTATTTAATAATAATGAAGAAACCATGACAAAAAAGACATGATTAAATGGCAGTGCCACATTATTTTTCACTGTTGTTTTCTCCATTGCGACTTAAATTTATAATGTATTTTTTAATTAGGGCCAGGTCAGCAATCGAGGCTATTTTCATGGCAACAACATTTCAATAATAAATATACAACTAAAAACAACAAACAACTGAATAAATAAATTAAATATGAATTTTTGCGTTAATACATAATAAAAATATATTAATATTCTTGGTGTCACTTGTCAGTTAAAAAATGTCCTTAATCGAGTTAATTTCATTAAAAAAAAAAAAAGCCTTTTGGAAACATTAAAATTAGGACAGTCCAGTAAAATGTTTTACAGCGGTTAAGGAGAATTGTGTGGTACAAACATTGAGTGGGGTCTCAGTGTTAATCTTGTATGTCCAATACGACATCTGGTAAAAATCACTTGATCAAGTCTAGTCTAAAATCTCTTAAAACCTTTTGTTTGAAATTTCAGGTTGTAATTTTGATACAATTTATTATTTTTCTATTCATCCCACTCCTCTTGCCACTTATTTAAAATGTAAACATTGATAAAAGGTCTCATCTCTGAAGGAGGAATTTGGCATGTGTTCACCACTTGTTTCAAAGCGTCCTTAGCAGATGCATCAGCTCGCTCGTTTTCTGGAAGCCCAACATGTCCTGGAAGCCAGCAAAAGATGATATAATAAAGCTAATTTTGTAGATGGTGAACTTTGCTTAAAATGCTATCAATCAAGGGATGATCTTTTTTTCATAGCGACTTATAATATTTTAAAATAGATTTTATTTTAGATTTCAATTACTCGTTTTATTCATTTATATGATATTTTAAATACAGTTTATTTAGTTTTTTTTTTTAGAGTTTAGTTTTCATGATACATATAATAAAAAAAATCAAAAGGCATGCCTAAATAGTTTAAAAACTAGCAACCAAAAATAATTTAAAAGACTAAAAAAGTTTTTTTTTCTAATATATTCCTTGCTTTTAGTGTTTTTAGTCTCTTCATACTAAACAAAACCACACCGGCGCATCAATTCAATTCAATTCATCTTTATTTCTTTATTTCTATTGATTTTACTATGTAGCTTGTGTCAAAGCAGCATAACTTAGAAAATTATAGTAAATTGAAACTGTCAATCCAGTTTTCAGAGTTTAAGTTCAGTTTAGTTCAGTTCACTGTCATAAGCTTGGATAAGATACACAGCCCTACTATTGATTTTTTTTATTTTCAGAATTATCCAATATCCATAACATTCCAAGTTATACAATGAATTCCATTTTAATGACTGGATTTCTTGATTACTTCTGTATTTTCTGCATCAAAAAAATGACAAGGCCTATTTGTGTTCCACAGAAGTACGTCTAACAGGTTTTGAATGACTTGTGGAGGAGTAAATGACAGTGTGTTAAATTGTTGAGTCAACTATCCCTTTAAGCAAACTCATTATAAACAGGCCTTTCACTGGCTAATAAAATAGCGTATAGTTCCCTAGTAAAGTTTGTCTTTTTTCTAGTCCAAATATTTATTAATTCTTAAATAAAGAAGCATTTTCTAGACTAGAAAAAAATGTCATTTTTCAGAAATAATTATTCAAAATGAACAGTTTTTCTTTAAAACAAGTAAAACAATTTGCTAATGCGATCAATTTAAGCATAAAACGTTTGTTAATGAATCATATTACACTATAGGCAGATTAATTTTCTTGTTTTAAGAAAAAAAACTTTTGAGATGTTATTTCTGAAAACTAGACAATATTTTGCACTTGTCTAGAAAATGTTTCTTGATTTCAGAATTTTTAGAAATAACTAGAAACAAGACAAAAACACTAAGTAAGACAAGTAGGTTTTATCCAGCATTAATCTGCCTGTAAAAATATACAAACAAAAAAATTTCATTCCCATGTTACAGAATAGCAAACTGTGTTCTTTAAGTTTGTATCAGGCAGGTTTAAGGGGAAAGCTAATAGCTGAGGCCCAGAGAGAGGGGGCACAAACAACATAATACACCTTCAGGACTTTTAAGAGCTTAGCCGGGTTTTCAGAGGAGCAGGCCATTCACAATCCCATCTTTGTGTGAGCAGGGGGACTGTTTGTCAAGTGGCCACTTACCCAGTTCATCTGCAGGTTCTGGAACTCCAGACCAAAGTAATCGCTCTCAATGAGATTGATCCGTCTGAACACGTCAGAAAGAAGAAGTTGCCCATCCGCTTTTGACTACAAGAAATAAGAAAAACAAAACATTAATTTAATATACAAATTTTTAAACATCATGAAAATTATTATCATGATTTAATCGTTCAACTAAGATGTACATTTCAAATACATGCATCTTTCAAAATGTTCATTTATCAACACTATAAATTAAAAACTTAACAATGACAAATACAAATACAACAACAACAACTAGGCCTGTCACAATAATCAATATATCGACTACTCGCACAACACATGGACATGAGCTCAATCATTCTTGGTGATTTTATATATACAGTATTGTCCATAAAAAATTCTAGGAACATTTCAGTTGATTGTGAAACATCTCTATTGGAGGCATCAGTTTCAGTATGGATTAAAAAAAAACACTGCAGTAAATTACTATAGTATATGTTATGGGTGCCAGACGAATAAAAATATATCTTTTACTTTTTTTCTCTTTTTTTACTTTAACATTTCTGTTAACATTTATTATTATTTATTTATTTGTTTAGGATATACATCTTCACATTTTGATTTCAATGCCTAAATATGAATAGTTAAAATGGCATTAATTAAATAAAATATTGTTAAGAATACAATAGTATGTGTTCTTTGGGAGAGTGCAGTTGCATTATGATGCTATTATAGTGTTAAAATTTACATTTTGGTGCTATATATGATTTGACAGGCACAACAACAACATTGTACAACAAACGTTTAATTTAATTTAAGGCCATGTAAACAAATATTACACTGGAGAAAGATGACATGAAACAGTGTTTTAAATATTGCATAAATTACAAAATTATAATATTAATTGAATAAATTCAAATAAAAAAACATAGTATCTCATTTACAATATGTTAGTAATATTGTATTGTATATATGATATGCATTTGTAATGCACAGTGTATTATTTACAATGATATTAGGATATTAGAGCTAAACATGGGATGATCAAGGTTTATCGCTCTTTGGAAAAGTCAAGGTTTTAAAACCGCCGGAATTTTCTGTTATACTGTTCCTACAGTATATATAAAGTTTTGTTGTTGTTTTTTGCAACTATATTATTTAGTTTTTTAGGGCAACAGTATCTCCAGCAGAAAAAGACTCTCCACATCAAAAGCTACTGTTCAAAAACATTTGAAATGTTTTTTAAAATAAAATATATTTGTTCAATGAGGGGAAAAGTTGCTGTTTCTTACTCAGACGTTATAAAAGAACATATTTTAGAGCAGTGATCAAGAGAATGTGATATTTTTATGCAAGGTTATCATACCGTCACAATCTTATACCGGCGGTTCATGCCTAATTGGAGCCATATAACAGTGATTTATTTTGGTTATAGATATACAAAAATATTATCAACATGTCTCAATATGGACAAAGGCAGCTAATTGCATTAAAAAGATAATATAAATAAATATAATCAAAACAAAGATATTATGATTAACTAAACCAAAACCACGAATTAAAAATGTTTTTAGTTGAAATTAAATAACAATTCGTACTAAGCTAAAATTTAAGGAAAAATGTGTGTTTATATATAATACATTTCTTTTATCTAGTTCTGTCTTCAATAAGTTTAACTTCAATGCACACAAAATACTAAAAACTTTACCAAAAATTAGATGAAAAGATGTAGCTCATTTAAATAAGTTAGAGGGGTTGTCAAGTTCCACTTGTAATTTCATCTTTCTTTCTTTTTTGTTAAACACAATGGGGTTATGAGGGGTAAACTATTTGTGTGGAAAAGCAGCTGTGTCTGCTATGAAGTTGCTGGATATTTGAGGCTAATGGGTGTCAGTGGGAAATATCTGTGGGCTCTCTGAGTAATTCTCCACAGCATGAAGGCCGTCCTAAACCAGACACAAGGCCACAGCACAGCCGCTCTGAGATCAGCTGGACCGTCTGCTGTAAACACAGATCAGTGGCAGGCTAGCAGAACATCTAAGGACATTTCAGGGTATGTAGGCAGTTAAACCTGCTTAAAGGGAAAGGGTTTTCCCTGTAAACAGACTCAGAGGGTTGTCATTACAAAATGAAGGACTAAGTACCATGGTATCCTGAATGCACAGAGCTTGGTTTTGCCATGTGAGCCAGTGACATTCTGGGAAAATTACACAGCAGACAGCTGTTTGTAATGTGAAATGTATTTTTAAAGACCATAAAAACAGCCTGACTTGAATTTGGAAGGGCCAGATTGTTACCCTCCAGTTTTGTGGTACTTTCTAAACTGGACTGATTCTTTTTGCCTTTAATACGGTTTGTTAAGTTGAGAATGTCCAGTCTGTGCCAAGCAGGTCAGATAGGCACCGTACAGATGGCTTCCTCTGGGCTCTGCCAAAACCCGCATTAACATGAACAAGAGAGTCAGTGCGAGGAGGGGGAGACCAAACTCTCATAAAGAACTGAATGAAAGGGAAATCATAACATTTGATATGGCTGCTGCCAATGAATGTATGGAATGTACAGTATGTCTTTATTTAAAGAATATATCAATGGCTGTGTTTATATGCACTGATTTTCGTCAATCTGGATGAATTGAATAGAATTGCAGATCTGTTTACAAGTACTTATCTGATTCAAATACTTGTTTATATGCATTTTATATACAATCCTTTTAAATATGTGCACACGTTCGGCCTGTGCATTATTACACTAGTGGAGACTACATAGAAATGAGCTATAAAATACAAGTGTAAGTATGTTTCCTTAATATTACAAATATAACATTAAAATTGGCTACATTTGCAACAAAATTTTCATCCTCAAACTTTCCTTTTGAGCGCATCTGGCTTTAAAAGTAATCAGCAGAAAAAACTCATCATCTTCTGAACTGATGTCTGGTAGGTTATCTCGGTTTTTAAGACATTTGGATGTATCAGGTGTAGCCTACAGTTGATTTCAGTGTAGATAAAATGAATCAAAGTTTGATTTAAAATGACACAGTGATGACTTGTTTTATGAGCACAGTAATTCCAAATGAATTTCCAACATGCTGATGTTTAAGAAACAGTTCATGCTTATGTTCAGTTTGGTTTAGTAGACTTTGTATTTAAGCATGTTTGTGTCTAAAAATCTAAACACTACTTCTAATGTCGAAAGTCTTTTACACACAACAGTGTTTTTTTTTTTTTTTGTATGAATCTAATTTATTCATAAAACCTATTCCTAATTGTAATATCTATTTAGTTTATTTTATTATTTAGAGGTTCAATTTAAACTTGTGTTTATATGTGGGTTACAGCACACTTAAAATATTTGGTTCTTCATTAAGCAGCCTAATAAAAAATATATATTCAGCCATCGGTTTTATGCATTTATTAATCAATATTCCCCAGAGACTTCTAAATATAACTGGAAAATTTGTTTTACATTTATATGTTTTTATTTTTGCTGTTGGATCGGAATACAAAAAGAATACAACTTTTAATCAGATCGAGCTCAATCAATAAAACTCAATCCAATCATGCGTTTACATAAATACAACCAATTACTTCAGAGCATGTAAACATATCCAGCAATACCTGGAACGTAATGCGGCTTTTGGTTATGCTACAGGGGATATAAAGTTCTAGATTTAATTTTGATTCATTAGCTCTCAATATGATTCTGATTTACCCCTTTTCTAGCAAGGCAGAAAAAGTACTGATTTGGAGCCAGAGTCTAGATCCAAACCTGTTCTTTGTCTTTCGACACACAAAGCATCGGCACTGAACCAGGAAAAAGTGGTTATTAAGTAGCAAAACATTGCTGGGCTAGATGTTAGAACCACTTGAGTCAGGAGCTGAGGGCAGAGGTTGACCATGACCCCTTTATCAAATGCCATTTTTTTAAAATGGCAGTAGAGCATAATGCTGAAAACATTGCTTCTAATCTTTACCTATTCAAATTATAGTGTGGTTCATGAACATGTTATCACTCGTAATCTCAGTCTATACAAACTAAAGCATAGGTCTCAAAACTAAATGTCTGGAGGGCTGCAGCTCTGCACAGTTTTGCTCCAGGTCCAACCCTGTCAAAAACAGCCAATCCAAATAATCGAGGTCCTCAGAGTCAGGATCAGCTTGATTAGTTGGATCAGCTGTGTTTGATCAGAGTTAGAGCAAAACTGTGCAGAGTTGCGGCCCTCCAGGAATTGAGTTTGAGAATCAGATTGTTAATAAAAACTATAACAAAGGTATTAACTAACAACTAATGCTGTAAATTATTGTAGTTTTTATTGATTCAAACTAGTAATTTACTTTTGTAAATTTTTCCACTAGAAAACAGGCTTGTAAAGGTATTTTGTTTTGGAAATAATAATTTTGGAAAAAAGATTCCCTGGTTATACTGAATGTTCATGATTCCCGAAAACCAATACGGGAAACTGATTTTACTTTCAACGAACGATCAATACTAATCTAAAAAATCTATATTTCGCCAAGCCCTTAGATAAGCAACTGACTTTCCTAGACAAATATTTGTGGAGATTTCAGTCTTTTCTCACTCAATTTGTAATTATACTACCTTTATATTAAAATGTTTTATATGGTTTTTTTTTCATCTAGCAAGAATGCATTAATTGCAAAAGTAGTACAAAAGTACTAGTAATTGCATTTACAATACAGCAAAATACTTCTATTTCAAGGCAATACTCAAATATGTAAAAAAATATATAATAATCATCAATAAAAGAACAATAATCAGAAAAAACAAAAAGACCTATTAACATCTGCTTTTAATATGCAATTTCATGAATCAAATCAAACAATAAATAACGGGTTTAAAACCTTTGAGCTCATCTATTTGACACCTTCAATAATATTAGGAATGAATAAATGTTTAGTGAGCACCACATCAGTTTATCCAATCAGTATTATTTCTAAAATTATATTCAACCATTAACATTTTAGAAAGTAAATGCATTTCAAGTTAAAAGTGGTGCTGGTATGAACCCATTGTTGACGTTCTCACGTGTGAGGTGTGTCTTCATTTTGGAAGTGAATACTACAGACTGTCAGTTCACATACTTC